GTGGACAGACAGGCAGCCAGTGGACCAGGAAGGGGATGCAGGAGACAGAAAATCCTCCAGCGTGTAGGGGTGCTCAGAGGACCCCACTGGTGGGAACAGGGCCACTCCCATGCTGGGCACAGCCTCACTCATTCATTCATTCACTCATTTATTTGTTCACTCATTACATCCTGCCACCCCACCCACTGTCTGCAGTGGGCATGATGCCCCCACCTTACTCCCTGCCCTAGAGTAAGGGGTCCTGGGGGCACTCCCGGTGCCCGCACATTTGTTCACTCATTCATTCACTCTATAAACACCTGTGAACTGTCAAGCTCTGTGCCCAGTGCCAGGCTGGGGCGGGGGTGTTTCTTTGAGGAGTCCTTCCCACTGCTGAAGAATTACAGAGGTGGGGCCATGAGCCCATCACACCTTGTGCCTGGTTGGTGGTTCAGTGTGCACCCCACCAGGGTGTGGTGCAGAACATCGCTGGACAAGGACTGGGGCTGGCCCAGCATGGACCCTGCCCCGCACTCCCTGCAGGCTCACCCACACAGACCCTCAGTGGGCAATGGTCCTGCCCTGGGCCTGGCCCTCCCCACCCCGCACACCTACAGCGTCTGGGCCTGCCCTCCACAAGCTTGGGGGGAGGCACAGTATGGGGGTTTGGGAGGCCTGGGCACGGGAGGTGAGGCCTGACTGTGGAGACACGGCGGCTGCTCGTCCAGAGGCTCAGGCCAGCTCAGCAACTCCAGCTCGCCTGACCCTAGCAGCCTGGGGCCTCAGTTTGGGGGTGGGGCCCCTGATGTCCGGGGCGCACAGGGGTCCTGGGATCTGGGGAGTGGAGGACACTAGGAGCCTGCGCCAGCATGTGCGTGCTTATCCCCATCACGGTCTGCACACAAAGCCATGGCTGAGTTGGGACCCCTGCTCTGGCCTCTTCCAGCCCCGGGCGCCGCGGTGACAGCCGGCTGTTCCTCAGATGTTCCTATTTCCTGAGAGGCCTCACGGCCTGCTGGGCCTTCCCCGCTGGGACCACTCCAACGGGACACAAGGGATATGAGCCCAGTGCTCTCAGGGCAGCCTGAGGGGCCGTGAAGGAGCTCGGAGCCCTGGTTTGCACACATGGGCACAAATGCGGGTTCACCCCCATGGGGACTCAGCCGTGCGGCTGGCAGCCCCTGGCCAGGGAGGGCCTGGCTGAAGGAAGGCGTGAGGATGGCTGCATGCATCAGCCCCAGATGGACCCTCTCTGAGGGCGGGGGCTGGCCACAGCTGTGGGCAGGACAGGTGGGCAGTGGAGTGGGTGGCCTCAGGCTTGAGTCCCAGTCACGGGGCTGTCTTAGTCAGCACGGCCGCTACAACAAAGTGCCAGCCGGGGGCCTTAGGATCTGGAGGCTGCATGTCCCAGCTCAGGTGACGGTCAGCTTGCTCCTGGGTGAGCACCCAGGCCCCGGCCCGCAGCCCGCACCTCTCACCTCCTCACTGTCCTCACGGCAGAGGGGACTCTGGTCCTGCCCTCCTCTGACAAGGGCGCTAATGTCACCCTGGGGATGTCACCCTTGTGACCTCACCAAACCCTTCTCACCTCCCAGAGGCCCCCCACACACCCTGCACCGTTGGTTACGGCTTCAGCATGAGTTTGGGGGGGATGTAGAAATTCACTCAAGGCTGAGGGGTCTTAGGTCCCCAAGGGCCCAGGCTCAAATCATGGAGCAGAGGGTCAGTGACCCTCACCTGTGCATTGGGAAGGTGGGGTGGCCCTGAGCCTGGGAGGCAGTCCTGGGTGCTCAGTCCACAAGGCCTCTCTGCTCAGCGATGGTGACCTGGGGGCAGCCCCCCAGGTCAGCTTCCTGATTCCCCAGGTCCCCATCCTGGCAGGAGGCCCCATGGCGTTGGCGGTGTCAAGGGGCAGGAAACGCAGGGGGCGGGAGTCCAGACCCGCTGCTGTATGCCCAGCTTGGGTCATGTTTACCCGCGGAAGGCCAGTGCCAGGGGCCCCACCCGGCCTCGCGGCCCCGAGTTAACTCGGACTCCAGGATAAACACCCATTCAGCCGCACAAGGCCCCTTTGTCCCACAGAGGCTCTCGGCTTAGGATGCTGCACGAAGGCCTGTGGCCTTAGCACGGCCAGCAGCCCTGCATAGCCTTCTCCGGGCAGAGACCTGGCCCGACTCAGAGAGGCCCCAGCAGGGGCACAGGGCACTGGGCAGTTGTCAGAGTGGCCGGGGAGGTCAGACAGGCTAAGCTGAGTGAGGGGTGCCCCTGCAGGTCTTTCTGAGCAGTCCTGAGCCCGCGAAGAAAAGGGGGACCCTGAGGCCACCTGGATGCCCACCCTCTCAGCCAGACCCACCGTGGCCAGATAGCCAGGTGCCATCTGCCCCTCTGAGCTGCGGGGCAGCTGGCAAGCCCAGAGGCTGCAGGCCCCACTGGCCAGTCGCCCACCCCCACCCCGACCCCAGGCAGAGGGGGTGCTGCCACACACTGCCCTGCACAGCTGCTCCCCAGCCAATGGTCACTGACTGGTCCCCATGGGCCTGTTTCCTTGTCTGTGGAGTGGGTCCCAGCAGGCTTGTGAGGGCCCTCAGCTTCTAAGCTCCTCCTGGGTGGAGTGCACCCCGTTTCTATCTAGGGTTGGAGGTGAGATATGGGGTCCCTGTGTAGGGGTGGGGTGAGATGGGGGAGGCTCTTGTTCAGGGGCTGGTGGAAGGGGTGCCTGGGGCAGGGGTGGGGCTGACATGGGGGTGGGGGCAGGGAAGGGTTACCTTGGTAGGGGTGGGGGGATTTCGTATTGAGGTCACTCTGGGGAAGGACCCAGCATGACAAGGAGGGGCGCAGAGCCCTGCTTCAGAGTGGCAGGACTTGGGGTTCCGTCCTGGCGTGGGTGACCCCACGCCTGTCGCCCACAGCCCTGCAGCCAGTGCCCTGGGGCTGGTAAAGTTGAAGACATACAAATCCTGCGACATCATGTCAGCTGTCGTGGGGGTGCCTTCCAGGGGTTGAGCCCCTACGTCGACCACCTTGCCCAGAATGGGACAGACAGTGGAGGGGAACTTGGCTAACAGCGTGAGGCTCACAGAGCCCTGAGCAGGGAAGCTTGTTGGTCAGCGTGGGTGGGTGGGCCTGCCTGCCGGAAGGAGCTGGGGTGGCCTCTATATAGAAGGGACACATGGTGCCACCAAGCTCCTCTCCAGAGGGCCACATCCTGGGGCAGCCCCAGTCACACCTGGTTTGGGTTGAGGGTGTAAGGGAAGCCCCCCTGAGAAGTGGCTTTAGCAGAGTGCATGGCTGTGGGGCATATCCAGCTGGTGCAGCCCAAGGGCTTGTCCCTTCTACCTGGAGCTGGAAGCCACTGCAGGGGGGATGTTTGTGAGAATGGGGGCGGCGGTCCCAGATGCTGAAGGGAGGTTCCACAGGGATGGAGAGATGATGGGGCTAGAGTACAGTGGGGCCACGGGGTGGGGTGGGGGGTTGGGTAGGAGGAGAGGTGGGGGGTTTGGAGCCTGGGGCACAGTGGCTCCCTGGGTCTCTGTGCCCGGCCTGGCCTTTTGTCCCCATACCAGGCACTTTCCCCAATGTGTTGAGAACAAACTCACCCTCCACCTGTCAGGGCCTGGATGCCCGCAGGCCAGCCAGAGCCCCAGTGGGGCCCCCAGCCAGGACGTCACTGCCCTGTCCTGACCCTGCCCATGGCTGGCAGCGCCTCCTGGTGGCGGCTGGGTGCGTTCCACGGCTCTAACCAGCAGGATGCTGGGAGTTCTCTGCCTGGGCAGGCTTGCGCCCAGGTCCCTGTGCAGGGAGCCCCACTCCCCATCCATCGACGAGAGAAAACACCTTTTGCTGGTGGCTCCCCTGTATCTGTGACCAGGTGGCTTTCGCGCCCCTGAGCCTTTTGCCTGCTCCTGGTACACAGTGAGGTCTGGACCCAGCAGCACCAGCCCCTGGAATGGATTAGAGATGCAGACCCTCGGCCCACCAACCATGCTGGGTCAGGCACTCAGGAGCCCTGTGCCCTCCAGCTGACTCTGGGGGCCTAGGTGTGAGGACACAGCTCCAGGGCACGGGGCCACGTCTCAGCCCGTGACCAGTGCCAGTGTCCAGCCAGCTCTATGCCCATCCGTGTCCCGGGGCTAAGGTCCCATGACGCCCCTGCAGGCCAGGCCCCTGCCTATTCAAAAAGGCTCCTAGGGGCTGCCTTACTCCCCTGTGCCTGTCCCAGGGGCTCACCGCCACCCTGAAAATGCACCCTGCCCGCCTCGTGTCCTGTACTACATCGTCAGTGAAGAAGGGACCAGGTAAGGACAGTGTTCAGGCCAGTGTCCAAGGGCCCAGCCAGCGAATGACAGGCTAATCCTCCGGAGCAGGGGCCTGAGATGCAGCTCGACAGCCCCTGGGGCCCAGGTGTCCACTCCAGGACTCCCTGAGACATTTTCTTGGGAGCGTTCAGACAACTTTTGTCATGAGCCACAGCTGTGCTCTGGTTGGGTTCTCTGGAGAGCGGGCCAGGAGCCCCGGCTCACCCCAGCGGTTTGCTGTATCTGTCCTATGAGCTTACCCCCCAGAACTGGCTCTGGAAGTTGTGGGGTGTAGCTGGCACTGGGGACTTGGGCAGCGGCTGACTGTTTGGAGACTTTCTTCTTGGGGAACATTTTGCTCTTAGGCTTCAGTGGATTGGAGGCCACCATAGCCGTAGGTCACTGCCAGCGCTGTGTTAAGTAGCCCAACTGCCTACCCCCTGGGTGAGAGCCGTTACCAGGCAGCAGGCTCGCCAGGCGATACTGGGCCAGCCGTCACCGTGCCTGCCTGCCCGCTGTTGCATTAAGGCTTCACTCCCTTCAGATTTTGATCGGCGGTCACGAGGCAGACGCCCCAGGACCACGTGGCTGTCTCTCAAGCAGGGCGCCTGCCTACTGGCAGCTCCGAGGTGCAGGCAGGGAAGGGCCGGAGGCACAGTGGGCAGCTGTGGGCGGTAGCCAAAGCTGGAGCCTTCGTCTGAATCAAGACCAGAGCAACTTCAGTGCTTCAACTTAAGGGAAACTTTATTTAGTTTTTCTAAAGCAATCTGGTTTAAAAACGAGCTGAGGTTAGAAAAGAACATGAAAACTTCTGACAGACAGGGAGACAGACAGACAGGGGCAAGGCGGGTGGGTGCAGGGCCAAGACGCGCGTCAGATCTTCTCCATCTTGGAGATGAGGTCGTCACAGATTCTGGTCAGCTCATCGTTCTCCTTAGTCTGTGGGAGAAACATCAAACCCCAGATGTGGCAGCCCTGCCTTGCCCAGATGGCAAGTGGCCCAGAGCCTTCTGGAAGGTGCTCCCATCAGGGCCCCGTGCCCACCTTTTGCTCCACGGCCTTCTCCAGCGAGTGGACGCGCATCTGCTCCTTCCTCAGGCTCGCCTGGAAAGCCAGGGCCTCCGCCTGGGCCTTGCTGCGCACCTGCGCGATCTCCTCATTGGCCCTGGACAAACGGGGGGCGGCTCAGGCTCCCCTCTGCCTCCGCCCCACCTGCCTCCCCTCCCAGGGGGCCCACTCCTCACAGCCGCAGCTTATCCTCTGCCTGGGCCTTCAGCGCCTGGTACCGCTGGCCTTCCTTCTCCACCCTGACTATGTAATCCTCAACACACTTCTTCAGTGACTCTTCATTCTGTAAGGAAGAGGGAACGCTAGCTTCTGACAGCACGCTATTCTGTGTGACAGTCCAGGCTTGGCTCCTCGGGCCCTGGGTCAGGTGCGGACAGGCGCGCCCACCAGGCCTTCTGGGACGAGTGAAACAGCACTTACTGTTTTTCTTTTGGAAAATGCCGCTCCACACACACAGCCCCAGGTCTCCCGGCCCCTGGACACAGGGCCTGACCCCCAAGCCCTTCCCGGCTGCCATCGCCTACTGCAGGCCCCCTGCCTATCCCCTCAGCCTGCCTGGCACCAGAGCTGTCCTTCGCCTGGCAGCCCTGTGTGACTCCTCCACGCCCCCATCCAGGAGGCAGCTGCTGGCCCTTGGCATCCCCTTGACCCCACGTAGTCCTGCCTCTAGGCTGTGGCCTCCAGTTCCTCTGCTCACGTGTCTGGGGCCTCCTGAGGCTCACTGGCACCACCGGCCTCACAGCTCCGGGAAAGGTGTGGCCAGGTGCTGAGTTTAAGGGAATGGGGTGCGGCTTGGGCTCTAAGCTACAAGGTGAGAACACAGGGCAGCCCAGCTTGGTCACTGACCGCTGCCCACCAGAACCCTGGTGGCCGGGCGTGGCGCCACCTACCGTGCGGTAGCCTTCAATCACCTCCTTCTGTTTCTCAAACCGCTTGAACAGGTCAGAGAATGACTTTTCCATGGAGCTCAGGTCTGCAGTCAGCTGGTCTTTTTCTTTCAAAATCTTCTGGATCTCGGCTTTGGCCAGTTCCTTCTGTTTCTGAGCCTCCTCTTAAGAAAAACAAGCATGTAGGATTGGGGGGCAGCCTCCACGCCGGCGCATACGCAACTGGGAGCAGGAGGCAGGGAAGGACTGGGATGGAGAGGTGGGCAGCTGGCACAATGGCTGCGGCCCGCCTGAGGGCCTGCTGGAGAAGGTGGCGAGGGCTCTGCATGGTGCCCAGAAAATAGCCGCTTCCTCAATGTCAGGTCCCCCTGAACCCGACAGTTCAGGTCCCTGAGGAAGACAGGCAGTGCCAAGAGCCCACAGCCACACCTGTCCCCACGTTCAGGGGTCTCCGGGAACCTGAGTCCTTGCCTGGCCGGGGGGGGGGGGGGGGGCCTGGTGCGCCCACCCTCCGGTCCGGAACCTGATACCCAGGGAGGCCAAAGCTGGATGTGCAGCGCAGGAGGGCCCAGCCGCACGGCCTCCCCGGCCGCCCTGAGCAGCACCTGCTCCTGCACAGACCCTGGATGCACCTGCCTCGCCCCCCGTGGGAACGGCTGCTCAGAAAGGGAGCCCGAGGGCTCCCAGCTCACCCATCGCCTGGTACACGATCTTCTCGAAGCCGTCCATGATCTTCCTGTGGGAGAGGAGATGTGTGCTGACCGCCTGCCCGTGGCAGCCGAGCGGCCAGAGCGGACCCTGCGGCAGGCCTTACCCCATCTCCAGGTTCTTCTCGTGCAGGGCCTCGCACCTGCTCCTGAGCTGCAGGGTCTCCTCCTGGGCCGCCTCCACCTGCACGAAGCACAGTGAGCTGCAGCGGCCCCTGCTGGCCAGGCTCCGCGCCATATGTCACCAGGCTGGGCCAGCAGGTGCCCAGAGAGCGCCCAGGCCCACACTGGCCCCAGGGTCCCGCAGGTGTATGGCCTGGGGATGCCTCTCACTCCAGGCAAGCCCCTATGCTGGACAGAACACGACACGGGGAGGCTGAGGGCCCGACCCTCTGAGTTCTTGGCTAGCTCTGAATGGGGCAGGTGGCCACCAGGCAATGAAGACAGGACAGCTGCTGGTGGAGCTGCCCAGAGGTCACGGGGCCTGAGGCCCAGCCCTGCCTGCTATCTGGCTTTCACTCATGGGCGGCTTAGGGCAGCGCCCACAGGCATAGGTGCAGACAGGCTCTGTGAAGTGCCCGCCAGACACGGCCTCCTGGAGCTGTCTACCTACCTCTCAGCGAGTCCCTGGGGCCGCAGCCAACAGGTGGCCCAGCGTGACATGAACCCACTGTCCCTATGCCATGTGCTCACCGCCGCGTCCAGGTCCTTCTGGCTGTACTGCAGCACGTCCACAATGGGCCCCACAGGCAGCAGCGGGCCCACGGGCCCAAGAACACATGGAGGCGGGCCCAGCACCTGCAGGTGACAGAGGCCAGCGGGTCACGAGCCCCCTGCGCATTCTCCCTGCCCTGTCGTCAGGGAGGCTCCTGGGACGGCACAGTAGTGACCAGTGACAGGAGCGGCCTCATGGCCCCACCCAACCTTCTGCAGATTCAGATCCTGGGATGGAAGACCCGGGCCCTAACACACACACCTGCACAGCACAGGGGCCCAGGCACTTACGGGGACGTCTGAGGCTCCTAGGAAGTCGAGGTCCACCAGCCTGGCTTCAGGTGCGCTTTCTGAGGAAGGCGGGTCCACGCCCCGCACACTGAGACAGGACAGAAGGGACATGTGTCATGTTTCCCAGGGCAGGCGCCAACCCAGGTTTCCCAAAGGGCCAGAGAGCCAGTGTGTCAGGGTTTGTGGGCCACGCGGCTGCCTCAACTGGCAATTCTGCCATTCTAGTGCGAGTGGCTGCGCAAAGGGCCGTGTGACTGGAGGTGAGACCGGCTGTGCTGCCCCCGTCACTGCCTTCCCGGGCTCAGGGCCCCACTGGCACTGCTGTCCTGCACCCGAGGGGCTCCACTGAGCCCGCTTTCCAGAGATTGGGTCATGAACGTCACCTGGCCGAGACGGCTCTGATGGCCGGCACACTAAACCCACAGGTGAGGCGTACCTGGGGGTCTCAGCGGCCGCTGGTCTCTGAGGACTGTCATTCAGAAGCGGGTCGAACTTGAGGTATAAGGACTGTTTCCTCAGGGCCGACTCCTTAAACTGAAGGGGGCGGGCAAGTCAGCAGGTCCCCGTGGTCCCTTACAGACAGCCCCAAGACTGCAAAGTGACCAATGGGCCTGGGGAGATGCCAACACATAGTGAGACACCGCTAAGGTGCGGCCGACCCCGGCACAGGTCTCTGCTGGGACCCGGGGCCCGGCTGACAAAGGCTGCAGGGAGGGGGCCTGGAGAGACCCGGAAGCCACGGTGCTACCGCTCGGCCTGGAGAACGGCCGAGGTCGCTGCTGTGGTGGTGGCTGTGATGGTGGTGCATGCTTACCAAGGAAGTCCCAAACTGCTCCAGGTAGTCCACCTCGGCCCCCGCACCTAGGACTGAGAGTGCGCATGTCAGTGCCGCCGTCACCATCCCACGCACGGCATGGCACACTTCTTCAGTGAAATGAAGGCCGGCTCAGCAGCTTCCTGGCCCACATGGAGGGGGCCTCAGAGCCCCCTGTGTCAGCTGTGCAAAGCCTGAGCTGCGACCACCCTCGCCCACCCTGGACCTGGGACTCAAGGTCCTTTGTTTTAAATCTGAGTTTCTGCCTCACACTAATGACACTTGGGGGCCGGGCCAGGTCGCTCTGTGAGGCTGTGCTGTGCACTACTGGGGGTTGAGAAGCATCCTCAGAGGTGACAACCAAAAGTGTCCTGAGGGCTAAACCGCCCTGGTTGAGAACCACTGTTTAAAACCACCCCAGAAAAGTCCTTTAATTTCTGATAACATAACCTTTGCTTAAAAACCTAAGAGTGCCTCATGCCATATATGAAAATTAACTCAAAATGGATCAAAGAGCTAAATATGAGAGCTATAACTATGAAATTCTTAGAAGAAAACACGGGCGTAAATCATGCTATAAACTTTGGCAGTGATTTCTTAGACTTGACATCAAAATCATAAACAGAAAGAAAATACATAAATTGGATTGCAAAGTTAACGTGTGTTTCCGGGGACACCATCAAGTGAAAAGAACCCACAGAATGGGATAGAATTTTTGTAAATGACTTATTTGCTAACAGAGTCTTACGTAGGACATAGAAGAAAACCCTCACTACGGGGGCCCCAGCTGTGACTGCGGACTTGTAACAGGCACAGCCTCATCCCTGTTCATACCTTTGCATGTTTTCCTAAGCGAGTCTACAACATCCGTTTCTAGGGAAGTCCTTTACGTTAAAGGTGACTCCTGAAAACACCCACTTTTGACAAAGCCGTTTCCAGGTGAATGCCTTACTTATGTCAGGGACTGAGCTGCCTGGAGAGTGACTGCCTGCACGCGCCATTCAACACACGCGCTCACCGAACTGCAGGGACAACATACCCTCGGCTGGGTCTCGGAAGTACTCCTCACTCTGGTCCAACCCAGGCTCTGGCCCCGCCTGAGGAGTGGGGGGCGCTGGGTCAGCAGGCGAGGCTGTGGGCTCACTGCCTGGGCTGCTGGAAGGAGCCGCGGCCCCTGGAGAATTTGCAGTTTCCTCCTGGAAGGAAGGTGAGGGCCACCTGGGTGGCTCAGTTTGGGCATCTAGCACAGTTGCGGGTCCCGGGTGGGGGGCAGCAGTGTGTTCCCCATCACCACTGGACTCCCTCCACCCTGTTACCATATGCAAATAGTGGTGACAGTGTGAGGATATGCTCATGCTCGGGCACACACTCCGTACCTCGCCTGTGGTCCCTGCCGCGGTCTGCATCACAGGTATGTCATCTGCTGGGGCTGAAGGCACCTGCCTGAAGAGACGGGGTCAGCAGGGCCTGCCCCCCACCCCGACACGGAGCTGCCACCTGTCCTCTGAACCCTCACCTAGAAAGCCAGGCGCAGGGGCTACGCTGGGCAGCCCAGCAAAGCCCACCCGCTCCCCTCACTTGCAAGAGAATCCGAGCCTTGAAGGAGGACCAAAAGCAGGTGCGAGCTTTGAGGCCATCTAAGAGCAATGGACAGCAACCCTGAGAGATTTGCCCCTTTTACCAGAAAACTGGAAGAGAAGCTGGGTGCCAGGCGAGGACTCCTTCAGCCTCACTGGGCAGTGCCAAGGCTGGGAGAGCAGCCTGGGGACAGTCAGTAGCTCTGTATTAAATGTGAGCTGGGCGGCCGGGCACTGGCAGAGAGGCTCTCATGAGACAACACTTGGTGACCACTTAGCAGCTATCCCGAGAGCAGTGCATGGCGTGAGAGGCCTCGCACAGCGGGAGGCCGGAGCCTGAGAAACCAGCTGCGCCAGGCGCCCCCTGCCAGCCCTCGGTGCCTTTGGGATTACAGGCATTTTCCTAGACCTTCCAAATGGTAGACAACCCTCTTAAAAAGCCATGGACAGCGCCCACCCGTGGGGGGGACCTAGCTGGCCCGGCCTTCATCTTTTTTGCTATTTCACAATAGCCTGCCTGCTCTCAGGTCCTTCTCAGGATTGTACAAGTGGCATTTCTGGTCCCGGGCCTCCAACACGCACGCCATGGAGCAGTCACCCCTACTCACTGGCTTGGATGTGAGTCCCCTGAGGCCGCAGGCCCAGCGATCAGCAGCTCGGCCATAGGCCCGGCCAGCCTGCTCTGTGGGTGTTCTGGGGGCTGGGCTTCTCCATCACCTCCGAACAGGTTGAAGTTGGGGTCATCCAGCTTGTCCCAGTCCAGCTCGTAAGACCCCTGGGGAGGGGGAACAGGACCTTCACCCGCCTCCTCGGGGGCCTTTTCCTGCCTCGCCTCTGGTCTCGAGGGAGGTTGGAGGTCGGCTCTCTTCCCCAGTCCCCGTGGTGGGGGTGGCCTTCTGCTGGTGGCATCGTTAGAGAAGTCACATTCTATCCCAATGGGCTGACTCCTCGAAGAGTCAGCCATCCGGCCATTGGCCTCGCCATTCTGAGGACTCGGGGGCCTGGCTGGGGCAGTGTTCTCAGGACCAGAAGCACCCTTAGGGCTGGCAAGGGCCCCAGGCAGGCCTGCAAAGGGGTCTTCTCTGTGGGCAACTTTGGGGTGAGTACCAGAGGGCAATCTGGCCCAGGCCGAGGAAACAGGGGCTCCCCTCGGGCTTTCTCCTGTGGTTCCTTGAGGCTCCTCCGTTCTGTCTTGGGATGCCATCCTGGGAGGATCCTCTAGGATTTTGGAGGTGGCTGTAGTGGTTTTTTCTAGGGAATCACAACTACCATTGTCCTCCAACCCTTGCACAGGGCTGTCAGACATTCGTCCTGCAGGTGCCACTTGGTTTTCAAGACTTGCTGGGGTCTGGGGAGAGCTTGGGGGGCCCAGTCTGGCCTGGGGTGTGGAGGTGGGCACGCCAAAATGCCTGTCCTCAGAGGCGGCTCTCGGGTCCTCTGGGAGGGAGCTGGCATGAGCTCCCGCTGGGTCCTGAAGGAGCCAGTTGGCTGTTCTGGTGTCCACGTCCATGGAGAGCTGTCGACTTTTAGAAACAGATTCAGTTAGCACCGATAGGTACCTGTTTTACTTTCTATGCAGATTTTAGTCCATACTGAAAACATTAGCTAAAGACAAAAAAAGAACATTTAGTCAACCCAGTCCTCGTTACACAAGCAGAGTCCCATAAACTGCTGCTGGCGGGCCACCTGGGGCCACCCAGGTGACTGAGAGACAGGGCAGGGATGTGCTAGACAGATGACCGAAGTGAGGCTTTTCTGTGCTAGTCTATTGTCCCCTTTTGGTCGGGGGCCCCCAGCTACACAGTCAAGGACAGTCAGGGCACATGAGGGTCAAGCTCTTCACTGAAGAGACAGGAAGACAAGGGGTGCCTCCAGCCAGGGCAGGACTCCACCCCCAGGCCACCTTCCCTGGGTCCTCTCCTGGGCCCCCCACACCTCTGCTTTGCTGCCCTTGAGCAGGTGGGACCCCGAAGGGGAGGCAGCGTCAGAGCCACCAACCAGGCTTCCTTTCCTTCTTGGGGTTGTTACAAAGAATAGTATTTGAATCACTCTAATCTCCTTCAGTTGAATCTCAAAAGGAAAAGCACAAAAGTGAAGTTGAAAAGTATTAAGGAACCTGGGGAGAGAAAAAGATTATTTCGAGAAACTTCCGTGGGGAGACGGGAACATGGCCCTGAGGGCGTTTTACTTAAGTGAGGAGAGAGATATGTTAGTGATGTTTTGCTTGTATACCTTTCTCTGTATATCTGAAATCCATATAGAAGAAAAAGCAAGTTTTGAACAGTTTAAATCTGTGAAAGGCAGCTCAAAAGTGTGCCAGTGAGGCTGCTCCCTCCCGTTCAGCCCACTCTGGAGGCGAAGAGCAGCCGCCAGGACCCTCCTTTCCAAATACCCAAGCCAGACAATGAATGCCTGGTGAGGCTGCCAAGAAGCTTTTCCTGGTTAAAGTCAAGTGTTCAAAACCCGATCCCTTTGGCCACTCATATTCTGACCAGATTACACGACAGACACTCCTCTGCCTCTGAAAGGAACACCTCTCTGTGAGCTTTCTCCATGGCCTAATGTTTAGAACGCGGGGCTGACTTGCCAGCAGAAGGGAGACCCCCAGTGGAATGCAAAAAAAAAAAGAAAAAAAGACCACTGCGCGTCTTTCCTTAAGAGACGTGGTCAGGACGTCTCTTAACTTCACCTCATGAAGTTAGAAAAGCAAACAAAGACCATCTTGGTGGCAAGGGCATGACAGGGGAGTGGAGCCTGAAACCTGAGCTTATTCTCAGTATTTCACTATCTACGTTTCTTCCCACTAACAGATGATTTGATGTCGGATGCTCTGGGCCACACACTGCACAAACTCAGCACAGAGACCGGGAGAAGCCCGACAGATAAAAAAAGCAGCATTTTCCTGCCACGTCCATCAGAGATGTTACAAAGTGCAGTGCATCAAAAGCACCGACACTTACTTCTCTCTCGGAGTCCAAACTTGAGGGTTTTCTAATCCAATGGTGTCGCCCAGACCAAAGCAAGCCTCGAGTTTGCTGCTCATGCTAGGACTTAAAATCCTGTGTGTCTGTGGGTCTCGCAGAGGTGTCTGAAAAGTCACCTGTTGAGGAGGGAGGAAAAGAGCATCTGTTCAATAATTCAAGTCTTCAACTACCGTGCTGGCAGTGCTGTGCCCTGTCCTGCCAGCTCAGTAAGTTACCAGGTCCCAGGGTGACCTAATACGTGACACACGGTCGATCTTACATGGGCAAAACACACTTACCTTCATAGCTTTGGCTATGCTCTTGGGTGGCACATTTTCTTTCTGTGACAGACAGAGAACAGAGGATCTTCCGGTAAGTTCCAGTGGTGAAAACAGGAAGTCGCAGTTTTCTGTACTTCTGTCACCAGTGACATTTTCGTCATTGAAGATTTGCAGACTCATTCTGGAAACACAGTTTGTATCAGCTTGAGGGCTGTGTCATACGGACGTGGAAACGTGATGACAGCTGACCCTCCAGTGTGGCAGGGGGATGTGCTCGTCCTGCACAGGAGGGTCACACCTCAGGGAGTGTGGCCTCCACCAGGCAGTCCCTGTTCTGCTTTGGGGGACTGTGACTCTTCAGCTGGGCTGGGGAGCAGCCACCTCCCAGAACCAAGAGCTAGAAGGGCCTTAGTCAGAACAGGTTTTCGCACTAACTCAGACTTTGTGGATAAGTCAGGAGACATGTAAGTGCTGGCCTGGGAGAAACTGCAGGAGGAGAGGAAGGCCGGGGCTCCCCACAGGCCTCTACTCAAGGGGCCGAGGCCTCGTCCGAGCTGGAGCAGGCAGTCAAGTCAGCAGAGAGCAGAAAAGTAGAAGGGTGCTGAGGCTTGCTCCCCGCCCCCCTCACGGGGCTGGAAAACGGGGACCAGAAGAGGGTGGCAGGAGGGCCAAGGCCTAAGGGAGGAGCTGGAGAAGGGAACAAGCAGCAAGGGACAGAATTACTTGGCAGGGAGTTCAGGACCTTCTACGTGGGGGCCTGGAGTCTCAGAAACACACCAGGGGCCTCCAGTCAGGCCCAGAAGGTTCTAGAACAGCCCACTCTTCCCAGAGTCTTCGTGATGGTCACGGACATGACTCCCAATCTAGGAGCTGCCATAGAACTGAGCATTAACCTGCCCAGAGAGAACTACGGGAACTTGTTGATGGTGGGGGCCGTGAGGGGTGCGGCAGCAAGGGGGCAGCCTGGAAAGAAGGTCAGGGTGGGAGGTGGGGATGCCAAGGCGCCCTGGAGGGGGTGAAGGCCTGCGCCGCCTGTGGAGGCGGGGCCCGCCCTGGCTTGGCCAGCAGGCCCACCAAAGTGTGCAGAAGCAGAAAAGATACAAGAGGCTGGCTCTCAGGTTTCTGGCCTAGGTAGCTGGGTATAACGGGGCAGGGGCCCGGAGGACGCCTTCCTGGCAGTCCATGCCCGGGGAGGGGGCAGTACAGCGATGGAGGCCTCCGTCAGGTTTGGCTTCTGCTGACAACGGAGACCGCGAGAGAAACTCCTGAGCAGAAGTCGCCTGCGTGCGGAGGGCACGAGCCCAGGTGTCGCAGCAGGTGCAGCTGGTGATGGGAATGGCTCCCAGGTGGGGCTGCCCCCAGAGCAGGGAAGTGGGCCACCCACATCCGGGGATGAGAAGTCGGGTCCGGGGCGCCAGCAGGAGGCTGCGGCAGGGCGGAGATGTGCCCTTACAGGTCGCCGCTACAGGTGGAATTGGGGGCCAGACGAGGTCTCCGGGGTGGGGGTGGGGAGCACGGAGGCGGCCCGCGGACCGTGTCCTACAGGCGACCCTTCTGGAGGGCGACCAGCAGACTAAGAACCGGGCCGGCGGGATGAGGACCGGGGAGGTGTCCCTGGAAGGGCGGCGGCAGGGACGGGCGGCGGGGACCGGGTAGAAGGGGCCGTGCTGGGGGCGGCCCACGAGGAGGAGCCGCGGGAGGAGCCGGAGAGGGAAGTTCGCGTCAGGGGTGGAGGTCGGCCGGCGCCCACCTGCCGCCCGAGGAACCGGAGGCTGGGACGGAGATCCTAACCCGGGACTTCGGCGCCTTACCTGCCGGCCACCGCGCTGAGCACACGGAGCGGGAGACGCAGAGTCCCAGGGTGCGCCCGCCCGCCGCCGATTCAAATACCGACGGTTGGCGCGCGCGGCCAATCAGCTCGCGGCCGAGGGCGGGACGCACAGGGCGCCGGCGGCCAATGGGAGGCCGCGCCGGCGGCTGCGCTTCCGGGAGTAGGGACACGCTAGGCGCGGCGGGAGCCGGAAGTCCTCGGGGACCGCGGCTCGCGGACCGGGCGAAGGGGAAATCGCTGCTCGCGGACTGGCGGTGGCTACAGGGCCCGCCGTCGACCGGAGGTCTCGGGCTCTGCTGCGGACGTTATTGGGTTGAGCGGAAAGGCTGGGGCCTGAGAGCCGCTCGCCCGGGTCTCAGTTTCCCCAGCTGTAAAATGGGACCAGGTGCAGCGCCGCCCTCAAGGCGGGTCGTGAGGAGGAGCCAAACACTTGGAGGACCGGCGGGGAGGTTCATAAACTATGCCTGTGTGCGGGGCGGAGGACTCCATTTCCCGGAGTGCTCCGCGGGGTCTGCATCTCCCAGAGCGCCCGGCGTTGGCCGGGGCGGCACTCCATTTCCCAGAGCGCCCCGCGGACGGCAACTCCCATCTTCCACAGCACCCGGCGCCCATCCCCCTGCGCCTACCGGACCGGACGCTTGGGCCTGTCCCCCGCGCCGTGGGCGGCGGCTTTGCCCGGACGGCTTGGTGGTCTCGGCGGCGGCGCGATGGACAGTCCCGAGGTCACCTTCACGCTGGCCTACTTGGTGTTCGCCGTGTGCTTCGTGTTCACGCCCACCGAGTTCCACTTGGCCGGGCTCACGGTGCAGAACCTGCTGTCGGGCTGGCTGGGCAGCGAGGACGCTGCCTTCGTGCCCTATCACCTGCGCCGCACGGCTGCCACGCTGCTGTGCCACTCGCTGCTGCCGCTGGGTGAGGCGCCTGATCCTCTTGGACAGTGTCCCCCTGGTGGGCGGAGGCAGCCGGCCAGGTCAAGAGCTCGTATAGCCCAGCCCCGGACCCCTGAGGTGGCTGGGTCGCAGGGTCACCTCCCTCTGGGGAATAGTCGGGGAGAGTGCCGGGACCACCGGCCGCCCAGAGAATCGAGGCTGTGGGCCAATTGCCCGTGTGTTTACAGCCGGCGACAGCTGGACGTTTGCAGGTGGCAGAGCCCTGGAGAGACGTTTCCCCCAGCCGGGGCGGGTCGCGAACTGTTACGTGGGTGGCAGTTCCCAGGAGAGAGAGGGGCATAAGTTAACTGATTCCAACACAGGGAGGAGGTGGCCTTGCCCAGGTGATGGAAGGTGGGTGTGGAAAGGGCAGGCAGAGATAGTTGACACCACGTGGAGGTTGCACAGGTGCAGAGACGGAAACCCTGTGTGTGGCCAGAACGCTCAGTGGTTGCCCAGGTACTGTGCTGGGCGCTGACCTAGGTGCTAGTTGGCCCGTGGGAGGCTGGTCTGTCTGCTGGTTGGTCAGGGGACTGGCTAAAGAGTGAGCTACCAGTTAGAGGACATGGCAGAGGCAGGTCTGGGACAGCAGGTGGCTGGTGGCCAGCACCACCTGCAGCCCTGTGGACACAGGGAGGGGTTTGCAGCTGGCAGCTGGGTGCAGCAGCTCTGTCAGCTGGAGAGCAGCCCGGGGGTGGGGGGTGGGGGGTGAGGGCTGGCGCTGGGCTGAGGCTGCAAGTGCATGGGGGCTGTGGGAAACCGGAACTTAGGAGGCAGAATGAATTCAGGAGGCCACATCTGGAGGGGGTGGTGACGCCTGGTCATGGCCAGACAGGCCTTTTTTTTTTTTTAAATTTGTTTTGAAAAGCTTTGAGACCTCTAGCTATAACATCTATTGCAACTTGACAAATTATCCTAAAAGGTAGTGACTTGACCAACAGCAAACGTTTCTATTTTGCAATTTCAGCCCTGCCTGTGCAGCCCCTCGCTCTGCTTCATTCATTTGACTTGCAAATGGCCCCAACCTGGCCTGCAAGGGTCCAGGCACTGGCTCCTGTGTTTTTGTGATATGCCCCCATCCTTCTTTGCTTACTGTGTGCACATGATGTGCCAGCTCAGGATGAGCCTGCTCAGAGCGTGTGGGGTCAAGAGGCCAACAGGAGGGCCAGTGGGCAGCTCTGCATCCACTGACACCAGATCCTAGTATTTATTTTGTCTTCCTAGGTTTTTCTAGTTTTTCGATACTCACTTATTGTATGAAAATTAAAAATGCTTTTTTTTTTTTTCACTTATTGTGTCACTTCTATGGGCAAGGGCTGAGCCTGGCCAGCTGTGAGACCATCTAGCCTGGGGTATATAGCCTTACCTTGGGAGCTGACCAGGGCAGAGTGCCAGGCCCAGGGCTGGGGTTGAAAGGAAGTAGCCCCCTGGGAGGTGCAGGGACAGCACTGTGGTTCTTGGTGGGCACCACCAGGGCAGCATGAGGGCCTGGCAGTCTGACCTTCGCTGAGGCTGCCCCATCCCTTGCAGGCTACTACATGGGCATGTGCTTTGCAGCCTCGGAGAAGCGGCTCTACTCCCCTAGCCAGGCCCCTGAGGCCTGGCAGCTCTACCTCCTGCTGGCGGTGACCCTGCCCACCATCGCTTGCACCCTCATCTACTACTGGTCCTGGGACCGGTGGGCCCGCCACCCGCTGGCCCGCACCCTGGCCCTCTATGCCCTCCCACAGTCAGGCTGGCGGGCTGTTGCTTCCTCGGTTAACACTGAGTTCCGGAGGATTGACAAGTTTGCCACCGGGGCACCGGGTGCCCGTGTGATCGTGACGGACACGTGGGTGATAAAGGTGACCACATACCGTGTGCACGTGGCCCAGCAGCAGGATGTGCACCTGACCGTGACAGAGTCACAGCAGCATGAGCTGTCGCCGGACTCGAACCTGCCTGTGCAGCTCCTCACCATCCGTGTGGCCAGTGCCAGCCCTGCCGTGCAGGCCTTCGACATCCGGTAGGCACGCCTGTGGTGGGGCAGGGCAGGCTGGGGCTCACGGGTGGGCATGTGTCTAGCTTGTGCCCCCTTCTGGTGTCTGTGTCCCTTTGGGAGATGATGATGGGTGGGAGTGGCCCCTCCACTGTGACCCTCCCTCAGGGCACCCTCCCTGGCCTCCTGCCCCTGTCACCCTCACAGGTACCCTCTGCTTCCCTTTCATGCACGTTGTTCTCTGAGCTGCCTTCCACAGCTTCTTAGGGGACCACACTGGGACATTTGGGGGCTGGACAGGACAGGTGTGGCTGCCTCACCTGTAAGGCCTGGGCTGGAGCTGACGTCCTTCATACCTCAGGCCATGGCTGGCCTGCTGGGCCCCTCCTAGGACACGACTTGGAACCTGCCCAGGGCCAGGTGCTCTGTGTCTCAGCTGCAATCCTCCCACCTTCCCTGTGTCCCATGAGGGTTAGCCCACGGTGCCAGGTCTGTGGGCTCTGGCCTCAGGGCCATCTTTGCTGGCTGGCTTTCACTGGAAAGCTGGGCTGGGCCTAGGCCCCCATATTCTGTGTGGTTGTGGGTACTTCCGTCACCCTCGGGGCACAGCCTCGGCCTCCCTATGCCTGCCCCAGGGTCCTCGCCAGGCCGCCTGGGAACAGAAGCCTCGGTCCAGGGGCCTTAACCTGGCTCCCGCCTCGTGCAGGCTGAACTCCACGGAGTATGGTGAGCTGTGTGAGAAGCTACGGGCACCCATCCGCAGCGCAGCCCACGTGGTCATCCGCCAGAGCCTGAATGACCTCTTCCTGGATACGTTTGCCTCCCTGGTGGACGCCAACCCGGCCTACTCGGTCCCCAGCAGCCAGGTGGGGGGCTGGGTGGGGGCGGGTGGTTTCCCACAGCTGGATCCCCACAGGGCAGGTCCCCTGGGTGGGGGGCAGTGAGGCCTTATGGGGGCATATGACTGGGCTCCTGTGACCCCCTTGGGCTGCCCGCAGGAGCTGGAGGCATGCATTGGCTGCATGCAGACACGTGCCAGTGTGAAGCTGGTGAAGACTTGCCAGGAAGCAGCTGACGGCGAGTGCCAGCAGTGCTACTGCCGCCCCATGTGGTGTCTCATCTGCATGGGCAAGTGGTTCGCAAGCCGCCAGGACCCGCAGCACCCTGAAACCTGGCTGGCCAGCCGCGTGCCCTGCCCCACTTGCCGTGCACGCTTCTGCATTCTGGACGTGTGCACCGTGCGCTGAGTTGGCCAGCCCTGCCAGGGCCCCCACTGCTGCCTCCAGGCCGGGGCTCCCCTAGCTGCAGGAGGGTGAGGGCTTTCATTCAGAAAGGAAGTTCTCAGCTGAAGCTCTGGCAGCCGCAGTGGGCTGGGTCTTCAGCGCCCCTGCCTCCTGTTTCCCACTTCTCCGGGTACGGCTGTGTGCCCGTCACAGAGAACACGGCCTTGGGCCCATCTCCAGAGTATTCCGGGGGCCCCTGAGCTGTCTTTTCGGAGGACCTGGGGTGTGCCACCGATGGCCCTAACTTGGGCCACTTGCCTTAATTTTATGGAGCACATGTGCCCCCCGGTTACACGCCAGACTTAGTTTCATTCAAGACCAGCTATGGTCAGTCCTACTTTTGTTCTCAAGCTGGCTGCTGGCCTCACGGAAGCTGCTCTGAGGACCTTAGGCAGACTGACAGTGGAGACGAGACCTGGGGTGCCACTCCAGGGTGAGAGCACTGCCTGGGGTTTCCTGGTGGCTGGTTTTGGGTGAGGTGGCCCCTACCTGCTCCCTGCCCAGGGAGACCCCAGGCTTCCTATAGGCCTGGGAGAGGGACTGGCTGCTCCCTTAGCTGTGTGCTTGTGGGGGCCACCTATCCCCTGGAGGGGTATGCGCCTATGTGCCTTCTGCTGCCCCTGAGAGTCCAGGAAAAGGCCAAGCTTCAGGTTCTCTGCTGGGGGGCACTGACCTGAAGAGCAAGCACCACAGTGACACCCTACATCTACAACAGACCTGTCAGGATGCAGCACATGGCTGGCCACAGCCCCACAGGGTCCATCTGGTTTAGAAGGGGGCAGGCCCAGTGATCAAGGTACTGATGGGTGTCTTACCATTTCCTGGCGGTGCAGGTGGGGATGGGGGAGGCCTGTGCCAGGCCCTAGGTCCAGCTCTCAACAGGCACGGCTGCTGGAACCCTCACACTTGGCTCTAAGTTCCCTAAAACTGGCTATTTGAAGAGTTCTGGTCCCAGCTGGTCTCACTCACCCAAGGCCATACTATGCCCTGGGGATTTGGGAGCAGAGAATTTGTGGGCCCCTGGAGTGCTGAGCAGATGGGGAAACGGGAGTGGGGAGCAGCTAGAAGCCTTGCGCTGCCTCAGCCTGGAGTTTCATGTGCTGCCAAGGGAGGGCTGGTATGGGCTTTTGCTACAAAAGAAAGTTACTTAGTTTTATAAAGAGAAGCCTTATTGTAGCTAAGTGATATTAGTGTCTAATAAAAGTGTTAGCCTCAAGTTACATATACTTTCTCTAAATGGAATATTTTGTTTTTCCTGATATTCACTCAAATTTTGTTAAGTTGGAGAGAAGCCACCTTAAAACTGGAAGCACTGTACCCATTTCAACATGTGTTCTGTTCGGAATGAGGACAAAGGAGGCAGGCACTGTAGGAACCTTCCCTCCTATTTCCTAGCTGGAGGGTGGGTCTTAAGAAGCCTATTTCCAGGCACCTATAGGAGCAGGGGTGGGCTGAGGTTTCCTGGTGCCTGGTCCTGGGTCAGGCGGCCCCTACCTGCTCCCTGCCCAGGGAGACCCCTCTCATGAGGGGCTGAGGTCAGCCTTGCTGACCTTCAGGCTCGGGCCCATGTGGGGCACTGGCGGCCCAAGGGTGTGGGCCCTGCTGGTGCAGGACTGCGTCCCTGTGCTTGAGGGTATGGTCTGTGGGGTGTGGGGTGGCCTGGGTGGTCCAGGAGGGCAGCCAGGCCCAGCTGTCCAGGTTCTCCGGTGGGGCGAGATCCCCAACACTTGGTGCTCCCCCATACTGCTGCTGGACCCTGGACCCTAAGCGTTTTTAGGAAAGTGGTACATACAGCCCGTTGAAAACACGAGAGGTGGAATCGAGTTTTTTGCGTCCTGAATGTCTTTTTCCACCTGACGCCTCCACTTCACTGTCGTTTTGCACGAACGTGTCAGCATTTAGCAGCACGGAGACTGGCCCAGGGCTCCGCTGGGTGGGGGGTCACGGAGGGCCCGCGGGGTGCGGCGCTGAAAGCGGAGGAGGTGAGCGGTGGTTGGTGGGGAGATATGACGGAGCGCGGCGCTAGGGGCTGTTGCGTTACCGCAGACTCGCGACGGGTGAAGACAGCAGCTGTCGGCGCGGCCCCGCGCAACCCGACTGCCGCCCTTTCCGGGTTCCTGTTCCCGCCAGCGCGGAGGACGCCGCCGCCCGGCCAGCCAATCGGAGACCGCCCCTCCCAGGCCGGGACCAATAAGAGGGCCGGCCAATCGGGGACGTGCCGCTTGCCTCTCCGAGCGTCCGCGTCGCGCGCAACCGAATCTCCCGCCAGTGCCCCTCCCCTCTCCCGCGAAGGTGCGTCCAATCAACATCCGAGGGGTCCCGGGCGCCTCCATGCCAAGAGGGCGACCTTTTACTCGGGCCTGTCCTCATTCAAACCCACTGCATCGACCCGCGTCGTAGCCGGCAGCGTCCAGGCGACGGTCTGGCGTCTCCCGCGATCCTAGGCCGCCTGCGCGGCGCGCGCAGCCGAGCGGGCTCCCCCGCCCACGGGGCCCGATGGTCTCGTCCGGCCGGGCGCGCGGGAATGGCGCGGGGCGGGGCGACGGCAGATAAAGGCTGTTGGGGGCGGGGGCGCGCAGTCTGTCAGCGCCGCCGGGGAGGACTCGCCGGTCGTCGCAGCGCTGGATATGGCCTGCCGCTCGCAAAGCCCCCCTAGGTATCGGAGCCGCATCGACCGCGACGCTAGGTGAGGCCGGGCCGCGCGACGTGGGCGTTCCGGGCAGGTCGGGCGGGGGCCGGGGCGGCGGGGTTGCGGCTCGCCCTGCCAACTCTGACGCGGCCTCCCGTCTGCAGCCCGCCGCCCCCCGCGAGATGGAGCCTCGGGCGCAAGCGCAGAGCCGATGGCAGGCGCAGGACGGCGGAGGACGCCGAGGGCCTCGCAAAGCCGGCGGACGACCGCAGACCTGACAGGTGGGCCTTGTGGTGCGCGTGCCCGGGGCCGCCTGCTCCAGGGGCGGGGAACGCAGGCGGCGGCGGCGGCCTGGGCTAGTTTGGGCGCCGGTGGGTCACCACCCCCACCGGTTAAGGCTCGGGTGCCTCGCAACGCTGGACTTAGTTACGGCGCCCCTGGGTCACTATGTTTTGACTGGTTGAGCTGCTTGTCCCTTACCACGCCTGACTAGTGCAACAGAAAGTGGCCTCAACCTCAGCCAGCGAGCCTGTTACATTCCTGGCACAGTGTGAGGGCCGCCACGGACGGCTTACAGGGTCCGCTGCAGCCTGTTAGGCTCCCTTTATAAGAGTTAGCTGAGAGAAGTTAGGTGTCAAACCAGTCAACAAAAGGTGAGTGCCCGGATACAAACCCTTGAGGTTGGCGTGTGGTTTTATGCAGACCAAAAAGAGCAAGGTGATGTTGAGAAGGTGATGGGATCTGAGTTTGCATGGGGACGCCGCTCATGTCGGGCACAAATGTGAGTTATTAGCATATAGGGGTGCTAGATGCGATTACCTGGGAAGGAGATGAGTGTGGCAGAGGCTCTAGGGCTAGATGTACAGAGAGTAACCAAACTTAGCGTTGAGAACAAGCTCGGAAACCTCCAGTGGGCTCCCAGTTAGCTGAAGATAAAATGGGACATCCTTACATTGCCTTCGAGGTGTTCTGGATCTCCAGGGGCACCCCTGTAACTCCCCAGTCAGCCACACGGGCCTCCTTGTTCTAACCCGGTAGGAATGCTCCTGTCCTGGGTCCTCTCATCTGCTCTGCAAAACTCTCCCCTGGTGGGGACTGCATTGGGGAACGTATGTGGGTGCCTGGGGAGTAGAGCCAGCTACACTCCTATTGTAGGGTGCAAATGTGGTTCCTTTGGAGGGAGGTTAGCTCAGTGTGTGAAACAAGCTTTATTTTCCATTGGAGCTATTTCCCATTAAGTGTTCTTGTCCTAAGATGGGATGAGTTGGTGAATATAACCTGCCTAATCTAAGAAATGGGTTTTAGTTCCACAAAAGGTATTCTCTTCTATACTACCACATTTGAGATATAGCGAAAGGTAGTTTTTAAGCACCTTCTAAAAGTGTGGGAATCTGTTGTTGGGAGACCCAGACCTGAACCTCTTGATAGGTTAACGAGAGTTGATGTTCAACCATGGACAAGCCTCCGCGTCGTGTTCTGCATCTGCAACACAGTTACCGTATTTCCGCATGTATAAGACACAATCTTTTTTGAAAAATTTGAGGTCTAAAAACTGGATGCATCTTATTCAGTGGTTGTAGATTTCAAATGCCATAGATGGAACTGAGGACGAGGCAATATATGAAGTGAAGACAGTGATTCATCATCAGACACAGATGAGGACAAGCTAATGGTTGGGAGTTTTGACAGTGATGAGTTGTATGAATTTTATGATGAATCAAACTTGAGTTCAACAACTTAATGTAATACTTTTTTTTTTTTTTTTCAAATTTCAGGCCCCAAAATTAAGGTGCATCTTATACATGGGAGCGTCTTATACATGGGGAAATATGGTATTTTGATTTCACACCCTGCCAACCATTTTTAGACTCTGGATTTTTACTTTCAGAAATCCAATTTGAGTTTCTCTGGGTGGGATAACCAGCAGAAGAAATGATAATTACCTAAAAGGATTAATCATTTGTTGTTGCAGTTGCATTTTCAAAGCATGCAGGTGGTTTGGTGGTTTGCAGGTAGAATATATAAATAAGGTTGCTTATTGTTTTAGTTGAATTTGAAGTTAGTGTCTAGTTTTGATACACCAGTAGTGGCCAATAGAAAATAGAGAAGGAAATACAAAAGCATAAGTTTACATCTAGTCTATGAAGAACAGACATACCAGTGATTCTAACTGCCAGAATTCTTGGCATCAAACCTATGGGGGGTTTTTTGTTGGTTTTGGGGTTTTTTTTTAGATTTTTTTTTTTTAAATTGGGGAAGGAGAACAGTTGGGGAATTTGGAAAGCGGAACAGCTAAATTGTCCTTCAATCTTAGTGGTGGAGGGCGCAGCTAACTCAGCTCCAAGTCCAGTTGCCATCTGGCCGCCCATCGGCAGCTCATAGCTGCCCAGCTCAAGGTGCCGTGTTCAGTCTTAGTTGCGGGTGGGCATAGCCCACCATCCCATGCGGGAGTTGAACCTGCAACCTTGTTGTTAGGAGCACGTGCTCTCACCAGCTGAGCCATCCTGCCACCTATTGTCAGCTCAGCTCAGGAGCAGCTCGCTGGCCCATGTGGGAATCGAACCGGCGACCCTGTTGCTCAGAGCTCATGCTTTTAACCAACTGAGCCACTCAGCTGGCCCCAAGCCTGTTTTTAAACTGCCTGATCTTGACTAAAGATTTCCTTGAGTTCTGGATAGAACCGAGCTCCTAGGTTAAATTTAACCCAAGTCCAGGGGGACCTCTACCAGACTAACTGCTAATGCAGCGAGGACGCCCATATAGATATATCTAATACGTATGTGTGTGTATATATATATATATATATATATATATATATGTATATGTATATGTATTTACTTTTTTTTATTAGCTGAGCCATCCTGCCGCCTGTTGGCAGCTCAGCTTGGGCCGTGAATTGAACCGGCGATCCTGTTGCTCAGAGTTTGCACTCTTTTTTTTTTTAAGATTTTTTTTATTGGGGAATTGGGATAGGGGAACAGCGTTGGGGAATCGGGAAAGGGGAACAGACGTTGCTGTCCTTTTGTTCTTAAATCTAGTTGTGGAGGACGTCGCTTCACTGGCCCATGTTGGTATTATTATTGCTCTCTTCCCGGTTGAGGCACATCGGCCACCAGCCACTGGATGGCCACTCAGGGTGGCTCTTGGCAGCTCATGCCGGCTGCTGGCCGCTCACGGTAGCTTACGGGAGTCCACTGCAGACTACGCCGTTCCTGGCGACTCACGGCAGCCCAGCTCCAGGTTGAGCTGTTGTTCACCATCTTAGCTTAGAATGCGCAGCATCTCTGGCCCTCACGTGGGATCCGAACTGGGGCCCCGCTGCTCAGAGCTGGCATCCCCAAACCAAGTCTTAACCAATGCGTCACTCAGCCGGCCCAGAGTTCGCACTCTTGAGCGAACTCTTAACCATCTGAGCCACTTGGTTGGCCCCCATGTATATTCCTTTTTTTTTAAAGATTTTTATTGGGGAATTGGGGGATGGGAACAGTGCTGGGGAATTGGGGGAGGGGGAACAGACAAGTTGCTGTCCTTTTTGCTCTTCAGTCTAGTTGTGGAGGACGTTGCTTCACTGGCCCAAGTTGGCACCATCATTGCACTCTTCCCAGGCGAGGCAGATCAGTCGCCGGCTTCTGGACGGCCGCTCACTACGGCTGCTGGCTACACACAGTAGTCCATGGCAACCCACTGCCACAGGGGCTGCAGCCTACGCTGTCGCCGGCGACTCACAGCTGCCCAGCTCCAGGTTGAGCTGTTGTTCAGCATCTTAGCTGTGGAGGGCAGTGTCACTGGCCCTCATATGTGGGATCCGAACCGGGGCCCTCTGGCGTCCCAAGCTAGCTCTTAACCAACGCGCCACTTCGCCGGCCCCCCATGTATGTTCTTATCCCCAACTTTAATCATGATGGGCTACATTCTGAATCATGAAGGGTATGCATCTGAAAGTAAATAGTAGCCAATAAATAGTTTATTCAGTACATTTCAATGTGCTACTTACCCTGCTTAGCATTAAGTGTATTTGAAATCTTAAAGTCCTGAAGAAAAAAAAAGCTCCTCGGTGGGCTGGCCTAGTGGTGCATTGGTTAGGAGTTGGCTTAGGACGCCAGCTCTGAGCATTAGGGCCCCGGTTCGGATCCCACATGAGGGCCAGTGATGCTGTGTCCGCTACAGCTAAGATGGTGAACAACAGCTGGCAGCCGGCGTGAGCTGCCAAGAGCCGCTGTGAGCGGCCATCCAATCGTCGGCGGCCGATCTGCCTAACCCGGGAAGAGGGCAATGGTAATACCAACGTGGGCCAGTGAAGTGACGTCCTCCACAACTAGACTGAAGAACAAAAGGACAGCAACTTGTCTGTTCCCCTTCCCCGATTCCCCAACGCTGTTCCCCTCCCCCAACTCCCCAATAAAATCTTAAAAAAAAAAAAACAGCTCCTCATCTTGCAAATAAAAGAATAAGTTGTATTTGGCACCCTCCTCGGTGCTGAAATGCTGCCTGTTGACTTTGTCTGCCTGTCTCCCCAGGGGACACTGTCCTCATGATTTAGCCAGTGCTGGCACGTGGTGGGTGCACAGAAAAGAATGAACGAAGCCCCGAGAGGCTTAAGTGAATTGCCCAAACTCAGTGAGCTAGGAAGTTACAGGGCAGAGGTTACCCCGGAGCCCATTCCCTTAGCACTCTGCAAACGTTTGAACATTTCCTGATGTACAGTGTGAAAGGAAACTGAAAGTACGTGCTGTGGTTTAGACGTTCGTTTTTGTTTGATTGCAGCTTTACCACCCCCGAAGGCCCAAAGCCCCATCCTAGATGTACAGACTGGGCCAGTGCAGTCGAAGAAGATGAAATGAGGACCAAAGTTAACAAAGAAATTGCAAGGTATACATTTCAGACTGCTTTGAAATGGTATCTGTGGTGTTTTATATATTAAGTGTGAGGTATGTTGTAGAGCAGTGGCTCTTAAAAGTTTGGTCCCCGCACCAGCACCACAGGCAGCTTCTGGGGACGCATTAGAAGTGCAGACTCCCAGGCCTGTCGAGGGCCCAGCCACGCCTTCAGCTTTCCAGACGAGCCTGCTCAGAGTGTGAGGACCCCCAACTTGGGGCTGTCCTTCCGGATGTGGGTGGGTGGGTGGGAAGCAGAGGATCTACCCTGCGGGGTGCTCCCAGCCCCGCAAAATGTGTGGTGTGCTCTCCAAATAGGGGTGCATTCGTGACTGACAGTTGGCTCAGGTAACAGCCTGGAAATGGCCAGAGCTCAGGGAGGGGTCTCCAACTTGGAGCCTTACTCCCCACCAGGAAGGGGGTGAGAATCCAGCTCGCTATACTTCCAGGAGGGTAGCAGCACTCTACACCAGCTGTCTGGAACCCCTTGTAGTTGTACCCAAAACCGTGTATATCCAAGTAGTCACAAACTACAAGCCGCTTCCTCTTCTGGACTCATTATGCTCAGGTGACGTTCCTTAACCGCTGCTTGTCTCCCTTGGTGACATTCGCACTGGTGTTTGGGGGCCTTCCTCCCCTTTGATACAAGCCACCCAGCCCAGCTCATTGGCCTTGACTTAAAATGTTGTGGCTCATAATCAGCTGTAGGAGGTCGGACCGAGAGCCCACTGGCTGTTAATTCTGCTGAGAAAATGCGTTCTGAGTCGGCAGGGATGCGGCCAGGCTGCCTGCCCACCGCTGCAGTGGCTGGTGGCATTCGTAGCTGCCCCCTTTGGAAAGGCACAGGCACACAAGGGCTGGTTATGACCATTAAGGGCGCCACTTTCTTTTAGGCATCAAAACGTGTGTGGGGGGTGGTAGGAAAAGTGCATTGGGAGTTGGCAGAGGTGGGCCCCAGTGTTTTGAATGAGTTTTTTTTTTTTTAGATCTCGATTTTGTCACCTGTAAAGTTAGGAGGTTTGACTTGATCCCTGCAGTTTCTGTGTTCTGCTCACATAGTTTATAATGACTATAACATGCCTGTGTGCTGTGACCCCCCCCCCCCCCCAGGTCACCACCTGAGGTGGGAACCCTCCTGTCGGTGGACCCCTCTTTGTCCCTCAGTTGTCTCACGGGCCTGTCTCTGAACATTGTCCTACTTTGCAAAACAGGCTGCTGTGTTTTAGGCCACTCTATTGATTATGCCCTTTCTGATGAAATGCTGCTCCTTTTAGTAATAACCCAGGGGATTTGACCTGATGACAAAGCCTCCCTACTCCCCACCAGGAAGGGGGTGAGAATTCAGCTCGCTATACTTCCAGGAGGGTAACAGCACTCTACACTAGCTGTCTGGAAACCTGAAAATGGTTTAGTCATACCTGAAGCCACTCTTCTTCAAGGGGTCCCGGAGAGAAGGAAGCCCTACCGGAAACGATTGGAGGGACTGGTTTCTCGGTTCTCACAGGGTGCTGTGTAATCACTGCCATTCTAGGTACACAGGAGATAAATGAGTTCACTACCTTTTGTGTCCAGAATACACTGGGACGCCACAGCAATCTTGGGAGGGGCGAGTGCTTTAGATTTTGGAAGGATGCAGTGACGCTCGACATCTTTCAGACACGCGGATGAGCTTCTAGCTTGAGGTTCATGGTTGGATTGCACTACGCTCCTTGTAGTGGCATGCTTTGCAGAACTGGGTTTGGTAGTTGCTGTGATAGAAAGCCAGGGCCTCGGGAAATCCACAAGAAACAAGATGAGTGTGATGCTCAGCCTCTTCCAAGGTCAGAAGGTGGGTGAGCGGTGCCCAGCAGGCTCACAGGCCCCATTAGTGGTGATTGTGTTAGAAATACAAACTTTTTATTTCAAATTAGGTTTATCTTTATTTATTTACTTATTTATTTATTTAAGATTTTCTTGGGGAATTGGAGGAGGGGAACAGACAAGTTGCTGTCCTTTTGTTCTTCAGTCTAGTTGTGGAGGACTTCGCTTCACTGGCCCATGTTGGTATTATCATTGCACTCTTCCCGGGTGAAGCAGTCGCTCGCTGGCCATTGGACGGCGGCTCATGGCAGCTTATGAAAGTTCACGCCAGCTGCTGGCCAGCCCCACTGCAGCCTGCGTCGTTGCGGCATCCCAGCTCCAGGTCGAGCTGTTGTTCACCATCTTAGCTGTGGAGGGCGCAGGGTCACTGGCCCTCATGTGGAATCCGAACCGGGGCTTTGCTGCTCAGAGCTGGTGTCCCAAGCCAACTTTTAACCAATGTGCCACCCAACTGGCTCTATTTTATTTTTTTAAGGCTACAGGATTTTGGGGGTATTAATTTTTTTTATTTTTTAGCTGAGCCATCCTGCCACCTGTTGGCAGCTCAGCGGCAGCTCAGCTCAGGCCGGGAATTGAACCGTCGACCCTATTGCTCAGAACTCACACTCTTGAGCGAGCTCTTAACCAACTGAGCCACTCGGCTGGCCCCTGGGGGTATTAATTTTTATGTTTGGATCTCACTACTGAAACTGTTGGGGTCTGTTTGTCCTAGAGAACCCCCTCATTACAAATAGTGATGCCTGGGGGCATTGAGGCCTCAAACACTTTATATGGTTTGGGCAAATAACCTTTATGTTTTTAGAAGGCAAGGTAACTGAGGGAGGTTGAAAGTCAAAGAAGCAACAAGCTCTTACCCTAACCCACCTACTCAGACCACACCAGGAAGAAGGCTTCATTCCTGTGGTTATCTTTTAGTTCTTAAAGCATTCAGTGTTCATTTTTATACCTTTTAAAAAACGGCAACATCTGTTTTGCTCCCAGATATAAAAGAAAACTCCTCATAAATGATTTTGGAAGAGAGAGAAAATCATCATCGGGAAGGTAAGTGCCGTGGAAATGTTTCTTTTCTAGTTTGATATACCTGTAATTTCTTAATGAAAAAACCCGTGAACACGAGATGCTGATTATCCCAACAGCATTTATGGATTCGTCCGTTCTTCACCGATTTGAAATACGAGTGTCTGCTGTGTACTAAGTTCCCACATACGCATATGCAGAGGTTCTGGACTGTTCTGGGATTAATGTGGTTTGGAGTCCAGAAGACAAGAATGCCTTCATTGTTGTGTTTCTCCGTTGTCTTGCACAGTGATCTTAATTGCAAGGCTCTTTCTGTTGTTAATTTCATTTTCTTCAGTTCTGATTCTAAGGAGTCTACGTCTGCAGTGCCGGCCGACTTGGAGACAGATGAGAGTGTCCTGATGAGAAGACAGAAGCAGATCAACTACGGGAAGAACACCATCGCCTATGATCGCTACATCAAAGAAGTCCCAAGGTAGTCTTGTCTCATTGGCATGTCCCCATAAGTCTGAAGAGCTGCTTAGGTTGTAGACCTGATTCCGGGAATAGGTCACAGCTGCCAAGAACTATTTATAGGGACTTCCAGGCGCTTAGGTAAATAAAGAAGTAAGGATGGGTTGGTGACTAAAGAGCCAAGGACAGGAAGATTTAAAAAACAATATTTCACTATTTAGAATGTGGCTAACACTTCATCCCTCAGTCCTCATGGCATTCTTCTAAATGTAAAGTTATTAAAATGCACAGTGGGGAAAAAAGTAACGTTTAAGTTGCAGATTGTGAAACTTCCTGGAGGAGACAGAGGGCAGTGCTAGTTCTGTCCAGGCAGCGTGCTCCTGCCCTGCTCCTCGCAGGGCACAGAGACCTCCAGATAATGTGTCACCTTGGCAGGATTCAAATGCGCCTTTCCTCTGCCAAGGGACAGCAGAGTCAGAGGTGTGCTTTCTCATCCGCCATTTGCTCGTTTTGGAGAATGTCAGTTGATCTATAATTTTTTAATAACGCTAACCTCAGAGTTTGGTTCATCTGGAAGCTGTGTGCACACGTGATGATGTGTGGGTAACTCCTTCTCCTGTAGACACCTTCGGCAGCCTGGCGTTCACCCCAAGACCCCCAACAAATTTAAGAAGTACAGTCGACGATCGTGGGACCAGCAGATCAAGCTCTGGAAGGTGGCTCTTCATTTCTGGGACCCTCCAGCTGAAGAAGGATGTGATTTTCAAGAAATGTACGTCTGCACCATTCCCCAGACCCTCACAATATGGTTTTTACCCCTGTGGATTTAGTAAAAACTTCACAAGTTCACAGAAAAAAAGAATTGTATGTCTGCAATGGCTCTGTCTCTTGTGTGGCAGGCAGGTTGTCATGGTGTGAAGTCCGTCTGGAAGTTTGAAGGGAGAGCAGCCAGTTTTACAGCTTCATGTCCGCTTTCTCCATGCGTATGCACAGCTGGACGGTGGGGGGGCTATGGGAGGGGCGGAGGCAGCAGTGTGCTTCCCGAACTGAACTGACCTTTGTAGTTAGAGAAAATGGAGCTTGGTGAACCTGTTATAGAAATACATGGGGTTTTGTTTGTTCCTATATAAGCATTCTAAAAACTATTTCAGCAGTTTATTTTGAACTATGAAAATAACCGTTCTTCTTTTTAACTAGGGAAGGCTGTTATCTTCTCCCTATTGGTTTTTACACTTGTGCCTGGTTGGAAAGATCTCAGGCCTGGACCTGGGCCGCATGGTCTGGGTGCAGGTTGGACAGGGAGGTGGACAGGATGGTCTTCGCTCACCTCCTCTGTACTTTTCTCAGCTCCTCTCTTGACCTGAGACTCCCTCAGACACATTTATTCAACAAATGTTTGAGTTTTTGCTCTGTGCTGGGGAAATTTATTAGAAATTGTCGTGTTTGAAATGATTTCTAGTATGGATTTACAAATTTGGCCTCACAAGATGTCACACCAATTTTTTTCTAGTATGACACTGTTGTCCCATTCTCTTTATGAGTAGAAAATAGGAAAAATTAGCGATGATCTGTAGTTTGGTCTGTTGCAGTGTTCATCCCCCCACCCCCCACTCCTGCCAAAATGGGGCTTAATATTAATGCTTCTACTTCAGAAGGATGCTTGTAGATGTAAATAGTCCCACTGTAGTCGAGAGTGGGCAGATGGTGTGTGCTCTGAGTCGGGTGGTGATTTGCCAGTTTGACCTCTGGGTTGACTGGGCAGGGGTCAGTCTGCATGTGGAATCACTGAAAGCTATTCAGTCTCCCAGGGAGCAGAGAAGACACATGTCAGCGTCTTCACAGGGCGGCGTGGGGTTGATGGCGTTTGTTTTTAGCGAACAGACCGGGAGAACTTTCCCGCATCGCATGTCTCCTGACTTTGTGAAGTGTTGACTGACAAACACACCTGTTTGGTTTCACAGACATCCTGTAGACCTCGGGGCAATGGAGACCGAATCGACAGAAAGCAGCACCGAGTCCCAGACCAGCTCCCAGGACAACTTTGTAAGTTCCTTTCCTTGGTTTTGTCTCTCAGGTCATTTGTGGACAATATGTGCCCCTCTCTAAGCTGAAGTTTCAGCTGACGTTTGATTCCACTGCTTCTGACGGTCTCCTTACCCTGTTCTCTGATACCATCAAAATGTCAGATTAGTGGCGTTCCCAGGAAATGACCTTAATTTAGGGGTTTGGCTCAGGCTGACTCATTAGTCCCACCAGTTACATTTAAAAGTCAAAGGCCTTTCTCTGGTCCCAGCATCGCATAGGTGTGCTGCTGGCGTTAGTTTTAGGCTGTACGAATTCGTGCTGCTGACCTCTAGTATAGGAGGCATGTGCTCATTGTTATTCAATAAAGCAATGCTTTGGGCCGAGGGCTTTTCCCCACACTTGCCAATTTTAAAAAATCATGTTTTTGAGGGGGGAAATCCAAAAATTAAATGAAGCGTACAAAATTGTCTCATCTCTAATCCTGTAGTTACTGGTTGGGTGCATGTTCTTCCAGACTGTGTGTGTGTACAAGCATATGTCAGCATCCACAGTAAAATGACCCCTTTGTTTCATAAAGGAGACTACCCCATATTTGCATATGGAAATACCCAGCATATGAAGCATAAAAATTGGTTAAAAACTAGGAAACATAAGTGTTTGTGAAATAGTCACGCTTTGTGTAAGATGGTCTGTACTGTGTGAACAGTTCAGAAGCATAGACAATGCAAAGGTATGTGGTTGCTTTTACTGCCTTCCTGTCACCTGTGTCACCACTGCTAAGCCTGCTACGTGTCCTTTAGTTCTGTGGAACATCTGCAACCACACACTTTTATCTGACAGTGTGTGACAGAGGCTAGAAGTAGCAGAAATGTTTAACAACAGAGGAAAGGCAAGATTATGTCTATGTCATAGGAACCCAGCTGTCCCAGATTTGTTTTGAAGACTCATGACACGGGGAAATTGTTGAGGTAAATGAAAACAGGTTATCTCATGTTAGGGTGGTCCCAACTTCGTGGCTGTTTACCCAGAGGGAGGACGAGAGAGACACTCGGAAAGAGCTCAGGAGGCATCCTTAGTTTGGGTCAAGACTAAGCCTTGTCCCAGCTCAAAAAACAGATTCTGAACGAGCCACTCGCAGTGTCCGAAGCTAGGTACTCACAGGGGTCGGGGAGGAGAGGTGAGACCGCACAGGTGTGTGTGGGGAGCCAGACCATGAAGACAAGGGGCCAGGTTGTGGCAGGAAGCCCTGGGGGCATCCACGGAGAGGCGGCTGGCGTGCAGAAGGGAGGGGAGGAGGGCAGGCTGGGCTGAGATCCTGGCTTTTGTGGTCCTTACCACTGGAAGCAAGCTGCGGGGTGGGGCGTCAGCATTAACCGCTGCACATAACCACAGGCTAGTTACTCTGCTCGAGGCGTGACATTGATCAGACTCTGCCATCTAACAAACATCCGTATTCAGGTTTCCCAGTTGTCCCAATAATGTTCTTTTTACAGGTCTCTTTCTTTTCTGATCTAGAATTTAATCAAGGATCACACATTTGAATTGCCATGTTCCTTAAATATCCTTTAACTTAGAATAGCCTCCCTGCCTTTGCTCCGTGTCATTGACTTTTTTAGTTCAGGCTAGTCGGGTAGGACACCCCTCACTTGGGAGCTGCCCATCGTTTCCTTAAGGGTCAGATTTGGATTGGACACTTTGGGTGTTGCGTATAGCAGGTTGTCTCGTTATTGGTGATGTTAAATTGTAACACGAGTCGGGTGGTCAGTCAGATTTCTCCCTTGTAAAAACAGGAACCATTTTTTAACATCCATTTAAAACTTTGGTTTTAGTTGCTATAAACATTGGGCTTCAACTGGTTTAAACTCCCTAAGTTTAAACTCTGATGTTTGAACGTATGACCCTTCAGTTAAACTTTTTTAATGAAAAAAGCAAAACCTGTTCATTAAAACAATCCAGAAATTTATCAAACTAAACGCTGTCACCTTGTGTCCTGAGAGCCCCTGTTCAGTTCTGTCCAGCCTTCTGGCACTCTCTGTGCTTGTAAACGGCGTCCATGACTGCACACATCTAAGCTTTGGGTTCTGCAGTGCTGTGTAAGCAGAACATATTCTGTCCCTTGGGCAGTGTCCTTCCCAGTGCAAGCAAACACACCAGTCTTGTATGTCCTCTACGCAGTCCCCAGAAGTTTCGGGGTGAGATGGGCTTGGGAAGGGACTGCCCTCGAGGTGGCTTCCGCAGCTGGAGAATGGGTGCTTGGTGATTCGGTGTGATTCTGCTTCACACGTCTCGAGGTGATGCGTAGGCCATACAGCAGCTCCTGTCTGTCACTGCTACTCAGAGGCCTTAAAGGGTCAGTTGATTGCTAATCTGGGGGAGGTGGTTAGTGGGTAGGAATTTGGTACAGCCAGCGAAAACAAAGTTTGATGGTGCCCGTGAGTTGTAATTAGCTAATGTTTTGAATTCCCTCTGTTCCAGCATTCTTATCATAGGGCTTTGCTGTAATGACCCGGCTGGGCCCATAGCTGTGGCCGTAGGAGGTGGCCTTCTCTCCCCTGGTGGGGTGAGCAGTCTTGTGCCCAGTGCCCTGGCAGCAGGTCCCATGTGCTTGAGAAACTGGCTGTGACCCATGCTTCTGTTTTCCAGGATATGTACTCTGGCACACCCACCAAAGTTAGACACGTGGACTGCCAAGCGGAGGATGAGTTTGACTTGGAAGCTTGCTTAACTGAACCCTTGAAAGACTTCTCGGCCATGAGCTAACTAACTGGTGCCCTGCAGAGGCCCCTGACAGACAGCACCTGGCCAGGGAGGGCCAGCCCAGCATGCGTTGCTGCCCTTGTCACCGGTGGCTTCTGTTAATAGTTTATTATGTCGTGAATCGTTATCCTTGCCTTATTTTCTTAAACAATTTTATGTATAGTGAATGTATGTTGCATGTTTTAAATTGTAAATGGAACTAAATCCAATGAAAATTGAACGTGAAGCAATCTCGCAGCAAACTTAATTGCTTAACCCCCACTGAGTGGACAAGCACACTTCAACTGGTTTCCACAGGGTTTTAGATGCTAGTTGTCAGATGTCGGGTTTGAGTTGACCCAGTGTCCACAGGTGCAGTCTGGTATCAGCTTTCTTTACTGGGGTCTGCTGAAGTCTTCTCCCGTGGGACACCTTTAACATCTCTATGGAAATGTCAGTTTGTCAGTATGTCAAGGTGGCTTTTCCCTCCCACAGAGCACTGAATAGCTTAAGATGTTGAGCTGTTAAATTAATAGATTTTATGTAAGTTATGCGGTCTGAATTTGGTACTTGTAAATAGTGCCACGTAGGCCTCCTACCAAGAATACTTCAAGAGTTAAGGCAGCAGCAGGATTTAGAAAGAATGTTTTTTTACACAGTTAATTTACCATGTAAAATTGCTGTAAATGATGATGTATACAGATTTTCTGTTCAGATATCCAATTGTAAACTTCTTGTTGAGACTCTTGTTTCTATTGCTTTTGTATGGAATGGCATTGCAAAAATAAAAAGTAAAGAACCTTATGTAACTGATTGATTACATTGCCAGATAGGCTAACTGTTGTGACCGTCCTGTTGGGAGTGGGAGTACGTGGCACTGGGAGGACAGCATACAGTGGTGACAGTCGTGGCCCAGGCTCGTTAAACCCGCCCCGCCCTCCAAGGAGGACTTTGTAGGGCTGGAGCTGTGGCCAGCTTATGTACATGTGTGCCCTTCCCTTAGGCCCAGGTCTCCTGCTTGAGGGAAGTGCGTGCCCAGCAGACCCACTGAGGAAGCTGGAGACCTAGGTGTGATGCCTGCTCGGAACCTGGGGTGACAGGGCCTTTCCTTGTCCCCTGAAACAGACCAGGGTTGCACAGAGTCCCTGGGAGCAGAGCAAGTGTTGTACCTGGGTCCCGAGGGGACTGCGCTGCCCACGGCGGGTCTGCCACGTCACACACTTGGACCCTGGCTGCTCTGCCGGCAGACGTGGCCACCAGCCCATCCATGGCCACATGTCCCAGGGATGCTCCTCGAAAGTGATGCTGAACTCGCTTCAGAAAAGGGACAGGCTCTGGCAGCTGTTCAACGTTTCAAAGGGGCAGAAGCCTGTCCTCGTTGATTTAACACATTTGTTGATCCCGTACTTTGTCAGGCACAGTCCAGTAGACACAGGACATGCAGGGAACAGGATGCTCAAGTTCACTCACAACTTAGCAGGGACAGGATACTGAATACACTGTCAGGTGAAGAGAAAAGCGAGGAGGAGAAGGGCCGAGGGGAGGGGAGAGACGGTGGTGGGGAGGTACCGGGGGTGGCATTTCAGGGACCTGCTGTTGGTGAGGAGGACTCACCCCAGCGGGCAGCAGGTGCAGAGGCCCTGAGGTGGGGTGTGGTGTGTAGACTGCCAACAATGACCCTCAGGTGTGGGCACTGGCTGGCTAGTGCCCAGGAGCTAGAAGGTCGCTGGGACACTGTGAGGAGAGTGCGGGTGGGAAGTAGAAAGTGACGCGGGCTGGAGGAGCCAGGGGACTTTCCAGACTACACCAAGTGCCTCTGGCTTCCTGCTGCTCACTGAGAGCAGAGGACAGGGACACTGACAGGAGGTGTTACGCGGGAAGGAGTGGCACTGGATTGTCTCGGTTCTTCTCAACCTCTCCACGTGGCAAGGGAGACTGGCACTGAGGGGCTTCCCAGCAGAGACCAGATCCAGAGCTCAGCTGGGAAGACAGATGGGACCCAGAGAGCCGAGGCCGTGGCTGGACTAGCCTGGTTAGGGCCGGGGAAGGGTGCTGCATCAGACAGTAGGACTTATGACACTCAAGTGCTTGTCCCTTGGCAGAAGCCCAATACAGAGAAGGGCTTGTTTTGAGGAGACCTGTGCATGTGGCATTTGTCTGATGAACCTCAGTAAGATTCACAGGACACTTGAAAAGCTTTTGAAAGAATTACATTGGCAAACATGCTGTCAGCTTGGACTGAAAGGGACAGGCAGTGTGAAATGAAAGGAGGCCTTTGGACCCTCAGGAGTCCACAGGTTGAGAAAACTACCCAGCTCCACACAGGCCACCCTTCAACAGAGGAGAGAATTCAGAGGGTGGAGCCAGGAGCCCAGAGGCGGGGCCAGGAGCTCAGAAGGTCCCAGCCCCAGGACAGACCTACTGAAGGCACTGCCATGGCCATTGACCCCTGGGTCCCCTCCCTACCCACCCCCCTTTGAACAGGAGTGTCAGAGGGCATGTGCCCTCATACGTGGGCTGTGTGTGGTGGGGGCTGGGGACAGGGCACATGACCTGTCTGTTTAGTTGAGAGGTCTGTAGGCTGAGAGGAGAATAGCAGGAGCTGTGCCTACAGAACCTCCGGAGGAGAGTCAACTTCGGTGATGAGACTGGACCTTGGGCTGATGCTGTAGCCGGATGAGACGTGGAGGCCTGGGGAGGACTGTAACTGATTTGTGGCAGAAGGTGGATGGTGCTGGTCTTAAACCACAGCAAGGAGGCTGGGCTGGCTGGAGCAGGGGCTGGAGCGGTGACATTGGGGTCAAGGCGTGCCAGTGTGCATTTGACTTTCTGCCGAATGAGGCCTTGAGCAGGCCATGATATCTGTCTCAGGTTCTGGGAGAATCTACTCTGGCTACTTGCTTTTGCTTCGCATTTAAATTCTTGAAGTGCTTTTAAGCACCAAGGAGATCAATCTTCAGGCTTTGCACTTGCCTTTTCATGTCGTTAATATCATCTAGTATATTTTCTGTATGAGGGTTACAAATAACCAATGGGCTAGCATTGCGTTTCTTTACACTTGACTCTTGTACATAGAGCCGAGAAGTGTCAGAACTAAATTAAGTTTGTCCAGCATGATTAATTCTTCACAATTCCAGGCTGATGGTTATCTCACTCCCATTGGAGATTCATTTTCCTATCTTCCCGTGTACAGATAGACATGGTCAGCGTATCAGGGCTGTCATCCTACCCACCCCCTTCCCCCCATCTACTTCCTTCATGTTCTGTGAAGCCAGTCTTGTGTCTCACTGGTCCATCAGGACCCTGACCTCTAGGTGCTCTTTTTCAGCTATCAGGTTGCTGATTCCTCGTCCCTTTGGTAGCAAGACGTCAATGAAGCATCCCAGGTGTCAGCAGCCTCTGCCTGAACCAAAAGGCTGCACTTCTGGCTTTCTGGACCCAGGTGGGTGGCTCTTCTGATTAACACAGTTTAAAGGATCTTTTTTCTCCCATGTAGGCAAATTTAAAAGGTCTGCTGGGTAAAGTCATATTACCAGACTTGGCAAACGGAGAGTGCCTTGCAAAGTAAGGTGCTAGCTGTTTTCTCTGAACCAGGCTGGCTCTGCTTGTATGTGGGCGTGCGGGGAGGGAGGTTGATCATCAGTCTTCATATTTTATTTTTAAGAACCTTGAGGGGTATTTGTTTTTATTGGTTCTTTTTTTGCTTTGTTATTGCTTTTGTTTTGCTTGCCATTTCATGTGCAGGCTTTGGTTGGACCTAAGCCACTTTGTAAAACTTACACTTCCAAGATGCATATAAAGTTTTCTGGAAAAGTACTTCCTCAGTGTAGGCGTGCAGGAAGCAAAGGCTTGATATTGGCACCAGGGGCTCGGTGGCTGGCATTCCGACAAGGGCACTGAGTTGTGGACGGTGCCCCAAGCACGCCGCCTGACCTGGCATTTTGGGCACTTTGTGTGCAGTGAGGAACCCAGACCTGCCATCTAGTCCCAGCTCTCTTCTCACTGTGTGATGGGGCCTTCGTGTCCCCATCTATAAAACTGGGATAATATGTCTACGTCATAGGATTCAAGGAGAGAGTGAATGCCACATGCTTACTAATACTCAGCAGTGGCAGCTGTTACAGCTGGTTGCAGAGGGCCTCCTTTAACGTGTTGACAAAGTCCTGCACTTCCGTTAGTAACAGGCAGAGCAGGGACCGTCCTCAGGTAAGAGTAAGAACAGCCCGCACTTCACTTTGGAAGTGGGAGGTCCACTGCAGAGACAGCCTAGCCACTTCCTGGAGCGGCCCTGGAACCCAGTCCAGTGTATGCCACTCCCCCATGTGAACACCAAGCACCCAGGGGGCATGTGGCATGCCCCCAATGGCCCTGAATGCGATTTTTGAGGAGGGCTTCCAGGTGTGACAAGCCATCAGCGCACTCACCACCAGGGAAAAAGCCGAATTTGAGTTTCCAACGTTTGCTCTGTGAAACACCCTGTTAAGAGGTTGAAAAGACAAACTGCTGACGAGGGAAAGTCTTTTTACACCACACATCTGACAAAGGACTTGTATTTGGAATACACAAAGAACTCCCAAAACTCAACAGTAAGAAACAAATCCAAGTAGGAAATGAGCAAAGGGCGTGAAGAGACATTTAGGTTATTGGGTGGGAACCACCATCTTTGCTGTGCTGTCTTCCTGTCCACGGATTGTGGCAGTCTGCCCACTTCATTCGGCGCTTGCACCGCCTTTAGTAATGTTTTGTAACCTTCCCCGTACAGGTCTTATAAAACCTCATGTTCACTCATAGGAGCCTGATTATTGAGAGTGGATGGCACTTCCTGAAACGGTCCGTGTTCTGCTTGTATGTGAAAAGCATCAGCACTGTTGTATACTAATCTGTGTCCTCCTCCCTTGCTCAGTATATAACCTATTTGTTATCACATATTGACCGTATCTTCTCTTGGTATTTCTTTGTATTAAACCATGCTTAGAATAAATGATGACCGTTTTTGTTCTTCCTTTCCAGTCCTTACAACTTGTATTTGTTTCTTGTCTTACCGTGTTGGTGACGACCTATATAGTATGCTCCTAAATTTTTAAGAGCCCGAGACTTGCCCAAGGTCACGCAATGGGTCACGGGCAGGGTGGGGACAGCCCAGAGAGTGGGAACCCTGGTGTCCGAGGGTGGGGACCCCGAACGGTCGGGCTGCTGGTGAAACCAAGACCTTCGAACCGGCTAGAGCCACCGGCCTTCCCTGCCGAGCAGCCCCTCTCGCCTCCTCAGGTCGCCGCCGCCGTCGCCAGCCTTCGCGGCCGGGAGACTTATAAGTCCGACGCACGCCCACGTCGGGGCAGGCCCCGCCCTTCCACGAACAGCCCCGCCCCAGCCGGGCCCGCCCCCGGACGCAGCTCCGCCCCCTCGCCGGCGCTAGCCCGCCCTTGCCGTATCAGGTCCCGCCCCCAGACGCAGCTCCTCCCCTTCGTCGGCGCAGGCTCCGTCCCTGTGCGCGCAGCGCGGCTGAGGAGCGGAGGAGCGGCGGGGCGCGGGCGGGCGGTGGCTGCGGGCGAGCGGCCAATGAGCGCGGCCGGAGGGGGCGGGGCCGCGCGGTGCGCTCCCCTGTGGCTGAGGCGCGTCGGCCGTTGCGGGAAGAGCGCAGCCTGCGGGCCCGGCGCCTCAGTTGCTCCGCCGTTCGGCCGCGCTCAGGTACCGGCTCCCTGTTGGCCCGCGAGGCGGCGGCCGGGCGCGCGCCTCCCGCCTGTGCGTGCGCGCCCCTCGGGTCCGTGCGTGCGCGCCCCGGCGCGGGGCCGCGCGTGAACTTGGGCCGGACGGTCCGGCTTCTGTCAGCGCGCCGAGCCCGGCCCGCGCGGCCCGATGCTTTTCCACCCGCCTCGGTGCCGAGCGTTTTCGCCGCTGGACCCTGAGAGCGCGGCGGGCGGGTCGCTGAGGGCGCAGGGGCCCCGGGGCTCGAGACCCGTGTGGGATTCCCGCCGCGCACAAGGCTCCTCGGACTGGCCCCGGCACCCCCGCGCCCCGAGACCCCCGCGCACCTCGGGACCCTCGCACTCCCGGGGACCCCTCCCGCCTCCGGGACCCCACGTGTACTCCAGGCCCCCGCTCATTCCACGCACCCTCTGGCTGGAAGGGGCCGCGCCTGGGCCGCGCCGCCACTTGTTGCACCGACTTGGGTGTCGCCTGTTCGAGCTGTTGTCTGTTGTCGTACCTGGGTCTCATGTGATTGTCATTTTGTAGCGAGAGAGAAGCAGGAAGTTTGACGTGACAAACTGTGCGTTAAGGGAGCCCCGAAGGTGGACCGGCCAACGTGGGGAGGCCAGGCCCTCCCGGCGACCTGTGGACGGTGACTGGGAAGTGGATTCCCGAGCAGCCTTCCCTGCATGGACTGGACGGCGGAAGCCTCCGACTTTCCCTGGGAACGGAGAGGCGCGTTAGGTGGGTAGGGTGTGACGTTTCTCCGTGCTTTCCCCTTCACGTGAGTACCCGGGCAGGTCTGAGATGGATCACTCAGTCTGTATGAAATGGACCCCAGCGTTTGCATTTTATCATGGCGCGGACCTCCTTTTTGAGTCTGAGCTTCCTGACTTTAAAATGCTACTTAAAAAAAACAAAAACCCTGAAATCAACTCATCACTTACTCGAGTTTGTGTTGATTTCTTTGTCTGAGAACTTTTTAAGACGGGTTAGACCTCAAGAATGTGCTTCAGTTTCACAATATTGAAGAAATTTTAACTTGAGCATATACCATATTTCCCCATGTATAAGACGCTCCCGTGTATAAGACGCACCTTAAATGTGGGGCCCGAAATTTGAAAAAAAATGTATTACGTAAAGTTATTGAACTGAAGTTTTATTCATCATAAAATTCATACAACTCCTCATCACTGTCAAAAGTCCCAACCATTAGCTTGTCCTCATCTGTGTCTGATGACGAATCACTGTCTTCATTTATTGCCTCTCATGGCCTTCTTCTGCTGTGGCGTTTTCAGTAGGGTTTCTTCTTCCCGTAGCCAGTCTCGGATTGTTTTCTCAGTTGGAGGAAGACCAAACTTACATTCAGCAGCACGATTTCCCTTCACTTTTGCAAACTGGATCACTTTTAACTTGAATTCTGCACTGTACGAAAATTTTTTCTGAGCCATTTCTGGGCAGAACGTGGCAAAACGTAACCTACCGTAATATACCGGTAACAAGTGCGAAACAATGAGCACAAAGACAACAAGCGTGAAAAAGCGGGAAATGCAAGTAAAAAAAACTATAGCTACTGTATAAGACGCACCCAGTTTTTAGACCCCAAATTTTTCAAAAAAGGGTACGCCTTATACATGGGGAAATACGGTAGATTCTATTTCTTCAAACAAGTCAGCTGTTACCTCACTGTCCAGGCTGGGAAGTGCAGCCTCTCACTCTGATGCTAGAAGGCGGGGAAATGCTGTGTCCTGACTGTTCTGAAGTTCTTGACTGCAACTCTGAAATCAAGATAGAAATTGTTTGCAAACAGTGGCTTTTCTTTAAATTGGGGTAGTTAGTGCAGGAATTCCAGACAGTTCTACTTAAGGTCTTCGTTTCATTTCCTCCTCAGGAATGTCCCAGGTCTGGCCCATTTCCCCCTTCTGAGTCCCCTCTGTGCTGTGGGCTGTGGTGGTGGTGGCGCCCGTTCTGGTCCTCTCCTGGGGCTCCATAAGTATGTCCGTCCATGAACTGAGAATGAGGTTCTGGAGCCCTGTCCCTCTGGGGCACTTCTGTGATGCCACTTTGCGGGTCACACTGCCAGGTGGCATGTGTGATGTGAATGGGAGCCTTCGTAATGGCTCTGCCCTGTGATGGGTTCTTACGTTTCCTTGACTTACGTTGGATTTAGGGGCTGCGGGAAGGACAGCAGTCCTTGTTGCTACTGGAAATATGTAACAGAGAGAATGCCAGAGTTCCTGTCTCTTCTTTAAAGGGATGTACGGGGCCCTTTCCTAGTTATGGAGGCATCTGCTTTTGTGCACAGGGAACAGGCTCATGCAGAGACTCACCTGCTCTTACTGGCAGATAGAAGAACCAGGGCAACACTTAGGTATTGTTCACAGGTGCATTGCAAACATTTGGAAAAAAAACCTTTAAACAATTCCACATTTGTATGTAAACCCTTACAGCGTTTTCTGCAGCAATATTTCTTAAAGGAAAATTGACTTTCACAATCTTTGAAGCATTCGTTATAAGTGATCATAATTCAACATGTGTGCCAGGAACCCGGGCGTTTTCACGTGTGTTACTTAATTTGATTCCCTGTGGCCTCCTGTAGTGGGTGGTTCTTTCCCATTCAGTCAAGGACGTGCAGGCCCAGAGAGGGGATGTCATTTGCCTGGAGAGCTCAGCCAGTGAGAGGCCAGCGGAATCTGAGCCTTGGTCTTCTGTCCCACCCATCAGAGCCTGGTGTCCCTTCTCTCAATGAAATCACTTGCCGCAGCTTTTCTTCATTGTGGTTCAGTCTCCATTTTAAGATGCGAGTTTCTTGTGTTTTGTTGACTTGCAAAGATAACACTTCAAACATGATTTCTGTGCACTTTTAATCTGAATATCCTGCTGTCCAAACCTTCTAGTTGTGGGTTTTAATATTAGCATGTTGTGGGCTAGTTAGGACAGGCGATTTTTGTCTTCTTGTTTTGAAGTCCTCAAAAAGGACTTCAGCAGTCTGCCACACGTATCAGTGGCACTGGCTTTGGGGCACAGTCCAGGGCTTTGCCTAGACCTTTCTGGGGATCCTGACTGTGACACCTAAGTGTGTCCTGGTAAAGGGGTGCTGAGCCCTTTAAATGGAGTGGCCTTGTCAGATGACGGCAGTTTGCTGTGACTTTGCCTGCTTAGCTTGTGTTGAGTATGGGGACATGGCCACGTCCCTTTCCTTCCCAGCCTTCGTGTGGTGAAAGAGTGATAGTAGTGACTGGTTCTAACAGTGAGAGAGGGGTGTTTGGCTCCATTTGCCTTGTTAAGTGTCACTGCTGTGGTTACTATGGCAGCATAACAGGTTATCTCCAAAATTGGTGGCTTCACACAACATTAATATTTATCATTGCTCGTGGTTTCAGGGGTCCAGAGTTCCAGAGCAGCTCAGCTGGCAGTCCTTGCTGGGGGTCTTGTGCAGGTTGATCAGATAAAGGCTGGGCTGGAGGGCCCCCTCTCCAGCACCCTTACACTGCACCTGGCACCTTGGCTGGGAAGTCCTGAGCAGCAGGGGCTCCCGGCATAGGGGCTGTGGGGTGTGTCCAGAAAAAGAGCCAGGTAGTTGTAGTGCCTGCTCACTGCAGCTGGGAAGTCCCTGAGCCTCTGTCATGCTCACGGGACCATTAAACCCCACCTTTCCGTGGGAGCAGTGCTCAAGGATCTGCAGTCATGCGCCGAAAGCACCACACTCGCGGTCGCTGGTTAATAACTAACGTCCAGCCGGATTCTAAGTTGCTGTTCACATGCTCTTGGAGAGAAAACTGTGTAGAAGGGAAGCTCCGAGGACGGAGTCTGGTGCCCCTGAGTCAGCCGTGTGGTTGGGCACCCCCTCCAGCAGTGCTGGCCGACTCCGCTGCTGTCTGCTGCGAACCCCTACTCTGGGAACCTGCTGCCCTCGTGCTGGCCTTCGTGTCTGTTACTGGGAAGCACCGTTGACTGTGTGCTCCAGGTCAGGCTCTGGGCACAGCAGACTAAGCAGGTGCTTAGCGGTTGTCCTCCCCATTTTGTGCTTCAGAAGCCAGTGTGGAGGAGTGCCAGCAGCTAGGCCAGGGCCTCGGCTTGAACTTGGCGTCAGAGCCACAGCAACTGGAGGGTTCAGGTGAAGTGCCCGCCCGGCCTCAGCCTGGGGCCTGGGAGGTGGAGAGCAGCTGGCACTTACAGGGGGCTTTCTGCAGCCTGGTTGTCCATGCACAGTCACTTATTCTGCAAGTCTTCGCTGACTTCTGAGTGTCCGGCGGCCCGCTGCTGGAGATGGAGGGGTGACGCACAGCCATGAGGCATCGTGGATGGTAGATGCTGTCTGCCTGAATGGAGAGCCATGATGACAAGCACAGAGGAGACCTTCAGCCTGAAGCACAGAGCAGAACCAGCAGGGGGAACAGATGACACGGTGCAGGGACGAAGGCATCGTTAGCAGGAAAAGCCCTGTGGTGGGTTGCACAGCCTCAGACAGGCTCCCACAGGAGCATTCAGAGCCGGTGCCCTTGGGCAGAAATGAACGTGTAGTTGGAAGGCCTGGAATGTGAAGACGAGGGCTGACCCTGGATGGAGATTGACAGCAACAGAAAGCATGCCAGAGACCGGAGGTTGGGGCCAGCTCAGGAGGGCAGTGCCAGACCCGCAGCCGCTCCAGGGACAGACCGGGCAGGCAGGCCGCGATGACTGGGTTTCCAGGTGGGAGGGCTGTGACCCAAGGCCCGTGCATATTTTCTAACACCAGGAAGAAGAAGAACCTAAAAGCCTGGCAGGCATCGGGAGAAGGGACGCGGGTGTCACCTATCCACCCGCCCATGGCATCCTGCTTAGGAAATGACAAGGGCATGCAGGTGAGTCCCAGGGCCCAGCCGGACAGCAGCACCCTGACTTGCGTGGAGGCTGGGGGCCAGGTGCAGAAGGCTTGCAGGGTGCCTGATGTCTTTGACCAAACAAAGTTTGTTGAGTTTTATAATTTTGGGGATTTGGGGGGAAGAATTTATATTGAGCAGAAAGTTTGCATAGGAGAAAAAGGAGGAAATTACTAATTTTGGGGAACAGAGGCCACTGCGCGGCTTAGGTGAGAACTCTGTTTATGGTGACGTAACAATGTCAGTGATGACTTAGTGAAATTCCTAAGTCATTTGTGGGGGGGTGTTTGGAGGTGGGGGAGTTGGGGCACGTTGGCGAGACCCAAGTCCTGATGTTTCTCTAAGGCAGAAGGTGGTGTATATGTGGACCGGTGAGTGAGCAGCTGTGCTTGCCACCAGGAGCTGTGGACATAAATAAACCCCCGAGTGTAGAGCTGAGGGTGAGGTGCCCACTGGGAGCGCTCTGCTGTGACAAGCACTGCGCCACTGGTTTTATGGCCGTGTATGTGGCCGTGGCCTGGTATGGGCTGCATTGTGTCCCTGGAAACTCCTAAGCTGAAGTCCTAGCTCCAGGGCCTCAAAAGGGGACCTTTCTTGGAAATAGCGTCCCTGCAGATGGAACTAGTTAAGATGAGGTCATACTGGAGCAGGGGGCCCCTAACTCAAAATAATTGGTGTCCTTAGAAAGGGGAAATTTGTACACAGACATGGGGTGAGTTACCTGGGAAGGTGACTGGCGTGATGCTGCCACAAGCCCAGGAACTGCCCGAAGCCATGGGGGACAGGTCCTCCCCAGCGTCTCCAGAGGGAGCTGGCCTGCCCGCTGTTTGATATCAGCCTCAGGCCTCCACTCCAGACTGGCACAGTGAGTCCCTGCTGTTCTCAGCCCCAGGACACTCAGATGTGGCTTTGCAAATGGGGTGCTGACTATTAATATGTGGAAATGAAGAAACAGCAGCAGAGCCCACTGTGGTGCCTTTTTGGAGGGAGGGTTCCTGGAGAACGCGAGTGACTGGAGCAACCAGCCAGCAGGCTCCTGTCATGTCCACGTCGCGGGCCAGCCCCCAGCACAATCTGTGGAGGACCTGCTGTGTGCCTGACCCTTGTAGGGCCACAGGACGCCTAGGTGTTGTAGACTGGTGGGAAGGCCTGGGGCCAGCCCTGAGCTTTGGCCTTCGTCAACAGCCATGGACAGTGTTTCTGGGCTGGCAGCTCTGGTTACTTTCTGTGGAGGCCAGGTTGAGGGGTGCCTAGTGGGCAGGAAGGGACAGCTTAGGCCGCCGCAGATACCCAGGCTCGTAAAGTGGGGCCTGAGCTGGGTGTGGTCTTGGAGCCTGGGCAGAGAAAGACAGTGTGAGGCTGTCAGCTGAGCCCCCGGTTTGGTCACAGAGAAGGACCTGTGTCTTTGGAGGCAAGGCCGGTGGCTGAATTTCCTGTTTTAGGGAGCGTGGAGATGAGTCTGTTAGAGAACTTCCTCTGGTGTGGGTTCACTGGACTCACAGAAGGCGTCCCCCCGCTCAGGTGACGCTCCGGTTTGTGTGCATGGGGTCACCAAGGACCACTTCCAGTGCATGAACTGGGGGGGGGAGGTCAGAGGTCTGCTGTGCCTCCAGAGGCACCAGGCCCCAGTGTCACTCACATCCTTTGTGGTGTGCAGCTCTCGGTCCCCACCGCTTGCTTCTCAGTTGGTAGGCAGGGCTGGGTAGTTTTCTTACCAGGCCCTGTCATCCAGTCTGGACCCTGTGTCCACCTGGCACCAGAGTCCTGGCTTTGCTCCCCTCTGGTGCCTCCTGCTCAGCTTTCAGTCTTGGCTTCACTTCACCATCTCAGAGGGGCTTCAGGCCGCCCGGCCTCCGATGGGGTCCTGATTCTTTTCGCCCGGGCACCTGCCTCCAGCTGGCATTGTTTTATTATATCTAACAAGAGCTCCCTCAGGGCCCAACGCTGTCCTGAGCTGCTGCACCCCGGCTCATGGCTGACCATGGAGCCAGGATACCCTCTGCCTAACGCTGTGTGACCACGACAGCCTCTCCTGATTATGCAGTTTAAAAGCATTACGGATTGAGTTGTGTCCCCAAAAAAGACACGTTCAGGTTGTAACCCCCAGGACTGGGAGAGAGGCCCCCGAGAGCACCCACCTGCCGACACCTTGACTTTGACTTCCGGCCTCCAGAACTGTTAACAAATGTGTGTTTCACCGTTTGTGGTGCTTTGTGACGGCAGCCACCAAAGCTAGTGCACGGGGACTTAAATGTATGTGTTAGTAACACCCCAGTCACGCGCATCCTTCTCCTCGGAGAAGGTGAAGGTGTCACCCACTAGGGTCCCTCCTCCCCTGCCCAGCACTCCATCCCCATATCCTCTGCTTGCTTCCTGAAGGGCAGGGTACTGCTGCGTGCTGCCTGCTGGAGCCCCCCACTGTGCTTTTCCTGCGTGCACTCTCAGCATACTCTGTTTTATATTTTAAAACTCTGTGACTTGTGACAGAGGATGACCACTGCACACTGAACTCAGCCACGCCCCCACTTAGGGAACGTAGGTCCTCAGCATTCACACCTGACAGGGGCGCACCCAAAGGTCAAAGTCAGGAGATCATGTGACGTGGCCCCACTCTGGCGTCTGACCCCAGTTCTCATGCAGGTGCCCGGAACTGTCCCCTCAAGTCCTTTCTCTGACCCAGGATCCCGGGTGGCATTCGGCCGTGGCGTCGTCGTAGTGCCTTGCTCTCGTCCATCATGACTCTGGCACTGCTGAAGGGAAGCAGGCCAGCTGTTTGTACAGCTCACCTCCCTGGGTTCATTGGGTGTGTCCTCACGATGACACTCAGTGCTGCTCTCCTGTGTCCTGCCCCGCATGGCACACCATGTTCGTTTGGCCTTGGACCGGCCCAGGGCACTTTGATCACTGGCTTGAACTCATGTCCGCCAGGTCTGTAAAGGGATTGTTCTCCCTTGTAATTACACATGTCTTGTAGGGAGGGAGATACTTTGAGATCCTGTAAATATTCCTGTTTCTCATTGTATTTTCATCCACTGACTTTAGCATTTATTCATGAATCTTGCCTGAACCGTTATGGGGCGTTTGTCAAATGGTGACATAAAAAAAATTCCATCATTCCATCTACATTTCTCAGTCGGCATTCTACCGAAAGGAAAGTTTTTGCCCTCTCCATCGACTTATTTTTCAGTTACTTACGTCGGTGTGGATTCATAGGTCCTCAGTTCATCCTGTGGAGTCTAGCCCATGCCCTCTTCATGGACGTGGCTGCTGTGGGGGCCCTGTCACCGTTCCCTGCGTGTGTCTTAGTGGGCATGTTCCGGTCTCGTCTCCTTCCCTGCCCAAGCCCTGGAAATCAGCCATCTCTCCCAAGGCCTGTGGGGCCTGTTTTTAAAGTAAAATCCTAGTTATTTTATTATTTTTCAAGTTCTGCTGTGGCTGCCATAACTTGTAAGGTTGTGTGTGCTGTGTGCCAGCAGGAGGCTCCACCGGGGACTCAAGAGACCCCAAGGGGTGGGCACATGGCAGAGCTGCCCCTTCACCCTGCTTTAGGGGGCAGTGCCATGGCCTCTGCCCTCTGCCCTGGGCCGGCGGAATAGCAGCAGAGGTGGCGCCTGTGGCATGTCGGGCTGAAGGGGTGTTACGTGAGCGAGGTGCTCAGTTAGGGCCAGGGGTGAATTTACGTGGAGTGGCAGCGAGAATTGGTCAAGTGACAGATGCCATTATTTGGCTCGCCTGGCCCTGCCTGGGTGACTGTGCCAGCGCTGCAGTTGTGGTGTGGCTAGCTCTGGTTCTGCTTCTCTGGGGAGCCAGCTGACCCTGGCCTACCGCACCCTCTCTGGGCCTCAGGGTCCCCAGCTGTACTGGAGGTGATGGCCATCCCTACCGTGTCAGCACGGAGCTGCAAGGCGCTGGAGACCTAGTGGGTGGACCCTGCGATGCAGTGAGCAGGACTGAAGTGCGCCCCTTCTGGCCTGGAATGAGCCCAAGGATAGCTCATGACAGCCAGGTCCCCTCGGCTCTGCTCCTGGAACGGAGAGCCCGCAGCGGCCTCGGCTGTGCCCATGTTTGCCGCAGGGCCTGGGTCCCTGAGAAGCTGGCGCCAGGCCCGGGGTGTAAGCCATGTCGAGGATGTCAGTTGACCTGTCGAGAATGTGCGCACGTGTGTTTAAGAATGATTGTGGGTGTGTAGTTTTGTTGACATTTCAGCCTCTCTGGAAACGTCCCATGGTTTTCTCCAGATACCAGTTCGTGTGCTTTGCTAACAGGTCTCACGGACACTGTTCCTTGCGTCCTGGCGGCCGCGTTGCCGTGGGGGCCACTCCCACAACGGATGGCTTGTGTTGCTCAGGCACACTGAGGTCTGGGCAACGTGCTAGTGACCTGCTCCGGCGGGGACTGCCCCAGCGTCGTTCTGAGGTGGGGCCTGGGCGCCTGCCTGCTGGGCCCGAGGAGGCCTCTGGGAAGGGGGAGCCCCAAGGCCTGGGGCAGTTAGGAAGCCAAGCTCTGGAGATGCTGGAGATTCCGTCTTTGCTCTCATGTTTTAATTCCAAGAACTTGTTGTCTTTTTCCCTAAATGTTCCTTTTCAAGGGTCTCCTGGTCTTCTGTCGTGGACACGGTGCCTTTTTCCTCTTGAGTGCGGCACTGGATGCCTGTGAAGGTTTCGTTCTCTCCTGTGTGTCTTCTCCAGGTCACTGGCGTCTCCCTGTCCCTCCGGCCTGTGTCTGGCTCCCTTGTGTGGGGCCCTTGGCAGCTGCTCATGCTCAGCAGTAGGACACCAAGAAGGGCTGGCTACTGTTTGTGGTGACCAACTGCACACAGGCTTGGGGGCCTCTCCTCCGCCCGTCCGCCCGCGAGGCCTGGTGTGGGGCTGCACTCGCCCTGCCCCCTCCCAGGAGATTCAGTTGGGGGACAGGGCTCTTGCCCAACTGGATGGAGTGGGGGAGGGGTGTTTAACTGCTTTGAGCGGTGGTCAGCGGTCAGGTGGTATTGGGGCGGTGGTCAGGTGGGTATTGGGGTGGTGGTCAGTGGTCAGGTGGGCATTGGGCTGGCAGCAGTCATGCTGGCATTCTTGAGGTGGACATTTTGGTGGCGGGCATCCAGCAGGTCACAGGCGGGTTGTTTTTTAGGTTTCTGCACTGCTGGCATAGACTCTGCTTTGCAGCAGCTTTCTAGCTTCCAGAATGTTTCTGTGTCTCCTTCTTTCTTGTCTTTTTGGAGCCGGTGGGGTGGCCTTCCTTGTTGCTTCAGTCAGGATTTTGGGAGGAATGGGCTGTCAGGTGTGTGTTCAGCCCACCACCCTTCAACCAGAGCACTGCTCTTACTAAGCTTTCCGGGGACAGCTTGTGTGGTGGTTGTAAAGTGGCCTTTGTCAGGCCGAGGTGCCAGGTGCCTGGTCAGTGCTCAAGTAGAGCAGGGACACTGACCGAAAGGATTTGCATAGTCACAGACAACTTCTCTTTACCAAAAAACAGACACGAAGCTGGGAAGAGCCCTTGGAGAGGAAATGCAGCCGTGAGGGTTAGCGCGGACCCAGCAGCGGCCCGGGCCCGCTGAGCCCGATGGTCCGGAGCCGCAGTGCTCACTGGTTCGGACCGAGGACACGGGCTCCCGACCATGGTCACGCTTATCACCGAGAAGCTGCAGAACCAGAGCCTGGACGACCTCGCCCGCAAGAGCTACGGTGCTGGCCCGGTAAGCAAGAGGCCGCAGGGGCACTGCCCGAGCTGGGCCTAAGCTGGCTGGAGGATGCGCAGCTGAGGTCTGAGGGGACGTGAGGGCCGGTGTCCCAGGGAAGGGCCAGCACAGACGCAGCCCCCAGAGCTGTCAGTGTCATGATGGTGGGTTTTCAGGATCATTAAAATAAGAAAACTTTTTTTTTTTTGTTTTTAGGATTTTATTGGGGAATTGGGGGAGGGGAACAGCACTGGGGAATATGGGAAGGAGAACAGACAAGTTGCTGTCCTTTTGTTCTTCAGTCTAGTTGTGGAGGACGTTGCTTCACTGGCCCATGTTGGTATTATCTTCCCAGGTGAGGCAGTGGCTGGCTGGCCATTGGACAGCTGCTCACGGTGGCTTACAGCAGCTGCCGGCCGCTCACGCTGGCTGCCAGCCACACACGGTAGCTTATGGCAACCCACTGCAGCCTCACTGCAGCCTATGCCATCACCGGCGACTCACGGCAGCCCAGCTCCGGGTTGAGCTGTTGTTCATCATCTTAGCTGTAGAGGGTGCAGTGTCACTGGCCCTCATGTGGGATCCAAACTGGGGCCCTGCTGCTCAGAGCTCACACTCCTAAGCCAACTCTTAACCAGTGCGCCACTTGACCGGCCCAAAATAAGTAAACTTTTAATGAAAGTCTAACCGACATGTAGAAGTGTGCAAATCCTAAGTGTACACAGAGCCTGTGACTTGCCACACCTGATGACCAGCACCCTGAGAGAGCCCATCAAATCTGTCCCCATCAGTTAGTTTCGCCTGGGTTTGAACTTTGCGTAAGTGGAGCCATTTTCAAGGGTCGCATTAATGTGAATTTCAGGACACCACCCCTGCCCTGGTTAGATTGTAGGTCCAGAAGGAGGTGGCTGAGTGTCCGGCCCCTGTGGACGTGGGAGGCCAAGCCTGTGTGATCTCACCAAGGCCAGGTGCTCAGAGATGCCTGTGTCCGCCCCGGCCCTTGGTAATGAGAGGGCGGCAGCAGGAGGCTGTGGAATCCAGGCCTTCGTACCAGGCATGTGGCCCAGGGCCTGCAGGTCTTCGCTGAAAGTGCTCCTTCCCGTGGAGTGGGAGGGTTGGGCGTGGGGTGGGCGTGTGCAGGAGCTGGGCTAGAGGTGGGGCTGCATCTGCTGCCCAGGGCCGTGGGGGTACTCGAGGGGTCTTTGGGGAGCACTGCTTGCCCAGCCTGGCTCTCAGAGCCTGCCCTGAGAGGCTCCTTGCGGCACACACACCATGCCCCAACTCCCATCTTTGCTTTTGATTAAGTGAAGCAGTTTTATGGAGATTTTAGCCAAGGCCAAAGATACAGTGTAGCACACGCGTCATCGGACAGCCACACACCCTTTATGGTGTCTCTGGCGGGGACCCCGCAGCCACGTGCCTGGTGGTTTTTCCAGGATGATGGGCTAAGGGTCGTGCTGCGGGATCCCCGGGAAGGTGCCTACATGGGCTCATGTTCTCGCTCTCTAGCTGGTCGTTCTTATGCCATTTAGGGAACACATTGCCTCTCTGACAGAGAGGAGGTCGGCAGCCATTTCTCCTCCAGGCCCAGCGAGAGCACCCCAGCAGTGAGCAGCGCGTGTGGCTGGGGGCCCAGTCTCCGCTGCGATGTCTTCAGCCTCTATGACCAGGCCCAGGGCCATCGGTTTTGAGTTCCGTTGCTGTTTATGGTGGTTTTTTTTAATCAAAACTTGTGTTTTTTTAAAACATGGCCTGTTTACATGGTACCTCTTTCATCCTGGAATGGGAGAACAGACTTTTCCTTTCCCCCAGTGTAAATCTTTTCCATTTTGAGAGGAGCCATTGTGACGTTTGAAGCCTAGTTCTGGTGCATGTGGTGAGAGAACCGTGGCCTGGGCAGCCCGGGCCCTGCAATTCTCCCTCCACAGGTCGGGCAGCATGCCTCAGGGAAAAGGGGCGTGCAAGCAGGTTTGCATTGTAAAGAGAAAAAGGTGTCAAGAAAAATCCTGCTTATAATCCTTCCCGTGTAACACAGATAATTTTACTTCGTGTGAATTCCTCTTGAGTCTTGCTGTACAGGATATAAATGGTTTGGAAAATAATTCCCCTGTTATTGGGAGGTGTTTCACTGACTTCCCAGTTGAGGCTTGCTGACTTATCTGCATGGTTTTGACAGCATGGCACACGGACTTGGTTTATAGAACCTGCTTTTTTTCCAACATCCACATTTTTTAAAAAAATGAGGGTCGACTGAGTGGCTGAGTTGGTTAAGAACACGAGTTCTGAGCAACAGGGTTGCTGGTTCAATTCCCACATGGGCCAGTGAGCTGCACCGGAGCTGAGCTGCCGCTTAGCTGCCAACAGTGGCAGGATGGCTCAGCTGGTGAGAGCACGTGCTCCTAACAACAAGGTTGCCTGTTCAACTCCTGCATGGATGGTGGACTACGCCCACCTGCAACTAAGATTGAACATGGCACCTTGAACTGAGTGGCCACGAGCTGCCGATAGGCGTCCGGATGGCGACTGGACTTGGAGCTGAGCTAGCTGCGCCCTCCACAACTAAGATTGAAGGACAACAACTTGGCTGTTCCCCTTCCCCAGTTCCCCAACACTGTTCCCCTTACCCAATTCTCCAATAAAATTTTTAAAAATAAAAAATGAAGTGTAATTTGCATGCAGCAAAATGCACCAATCGTTACATCTTTTTGAGAAAGAAGCCCCTGTCATCTCCAGCACCCATTTGATTTTGGGCTTTCGGTTTGTGTGGAATTTTTTTTTTATAGTTATATATATTTTCTTTTAAAGATTTTATTGGGGATTTGGGGGAGGGGAACAGACAAGTTGCTGTCATTTTGTTTTTCAGTCTAGTTGTGGAGGACACCACTTCACTGGCTCATGTTGGTATTATGATTGTGCTCTTCCCGGCTAAAGCAGTTGGTCGCCAGCCATTGGACAGCCGCTTACGGCGGCTCATGGCAGCTCACGGCAGCTCTTGCCAGCTGCTGGCTGTCATCTGCTCACACTGGCTGCTGGCCACTCATGGTAGCTCACAGCAGCCCACTGCAGCCTCACTGCAGCCTACGCTGTCGCCGGCCACTCACGGCAGCCCAGCTCCAAGTCGAGATTGTGTTCACAATCTTACCTATAGAGGGCGCAGCGTCACTGGTCCATGTGGGAACCGAACTGGTGTCCCTGCTGCTCAGCTCGTGCTCCCAAGCCAACTCTTAACCAACTGGGCCACTCGGCTGGCCCTGTGTGGATCTTTAATATCTCTTTGCAATTAGGACAGTTTGGCAGCGCCGTGGTCCACGGGAGACCAGCTCCCCCTGGTTACCAGCAAATGTCCAAACAGAGTTACTCTTAACATCTTCTGAAACAAATCAGTAGTTTAAAGAGCAAATTTTTGTATAAGAATAGAAAGTGCAGTTTTCAAAGGTGACCTAAAATAGTATTTTTATGGCAACATCTAAAGGCAGATGGGAGTGGAGAGAAACCCCACACCCACACCCAGCTCGGCGAGGTTGGCTCTGTCAGCCCCCAGCGCTTGTTTCGTCTGTGCCTTCACCCACACCCCTCGTCTCGTTGTTTTGCAGTAAATTCCTCACGTTTTCCTCTGTAAATATTTCAATATGTAGCTCTAAAAGAGTCTTGTCATCTGTCCCTGTTCCCCAGCTTGTTCTGCAAATGGCTAATTGAAGATGGCTGTGCTGTCTTGTTTGGTAGCCTTTCGTCATTCGTGGCTTTTAAAATTGAAATTAGAGTTGATTAAAATTAAACATTTAACAATGGTAGTTTTCATTTGCACCAGGCACATTTCAAGTGCTCGGTATCTTTGTGTGGCACATGGCTGCTGTCGGGACAGTGCAGATGGGACAGTCCATGAACTGCCCGTCATCGCAGAGTTCTGTTGGAAGCCCTGCCAAGCTCAGTCAGACGCACGGTGGACACACCGCATGCTGTTACCCATTTGTCTGTTGATGGGCATTGGGGTTGTTTCCTCTTTTGAGCTGTTACAAATAATGCTGCTGTGAACATTGGCACACAGGTTCCTCTGTAGACAAGCGTCCTCACCTCTCCTGGGCACACACCTCGGAGTGGAATTGCTGGGTCACGTGGCAGCCCTGGGTTTAACCTTCTGAGCTCTGTGGGCTACAGCGTTGTTTACCCTGACTGGCAACATGGGGGGTCCCGACCCCCCCCCCCCCCCCCCGTTCTCATCCACATGTGTTTTTGTCCGTCTTTGTTTACAGCTGTGCTCGTGGGTGCGAGGTGGTCTCCTGTTGTGTTTTGGTTTGCATTTATGATGACCAATGCTATTGTGTGTCTTTTCATGTGCCCACTGGCTGCTCGTATGTCTTCTCTGGAGAGATGTCTATTGAAATCCTTTGCTCGTTTTAAAACTGTATTGTCTTTTTATTGTGGAGTGGTGAGAATTCTTCCTATATGCTGGAGTTTCTGCTCGTAATCAGATATGTCTATGATTTGCAAAAACCCTTTTCTATTCTGTGTGTTGTCTTCACTTTCTTGATAGTGCCCTTTGAAGCACAGGTTTTTATTTTGTTGAAGTCCAGTTGGTCTGTTTTTCCTTTTGTTGCCTGTGTTCATGGTGTCATATCTAAGAATCCTTGGCCAAATCCAAGGTCTTAAAGATTGACCCCTATGTTTTCTTCTAAGATTATATAGTTTTAACTCCTACATTATCAGGTCTTTGACGCATTTGGGTTAGTTTTTATATGTGATATGAGGGGCGGGTCCAACTGTGTCCTTTTGTGTGTGGACGTCCAGTTGTCCCACCACCATTAGTTGAAAAGACTGTTCCTTCCCCACTGAGTGGTCTCAGCACCCTCGTCAAAATTTATGTTTTTTAAACTAAGTCTTTGAAACCTTTCGTGCACTCGTATTTTACACTTAAGCAAATCTCAATGTGGACATCATATCTTCATTACAGAAATATTTGATCTGTATTTAGATCGCATGAAATTTATAATTGAAAAGATAGATGCTCATACCCAGGTTGTTCTAAGCACACTGAAAAGTTTTCCAAAGACTGACTTGAGTATTCATTTCAAACCTAAAATGTGACATACTTCAGAGTAAACGACGTTAGAAATCACTGATGGTGTGCTGCCCCTGTCTCTCCAGCGGCTCACTGGCCTGGTGCACTGACACAGCCCTCCCTGCGCACGCCATGGCCGTGTCAAGGGAGGGCGTTCTGGGCCAGGAGGGCCCGCAAGCGCTGGGAGCAGGCAGCCTGGCGGGGCGCCCACCAGGCCGGACGAGCTGATGGCTGTGTTGGCGGCGTGGGCACAGCTGTGGGAGCCTGCGTGCGCTGGCAGTGCAGGGCCTGCTGCCTCTCGGGGATGTCCTGGTCGACCCTGCGTCCCCCGCCTCTGCTTATTCAGCGCGTCTGGCTTCCTCACGTCCCTTCTCCCAGGGCCCCCATGGGGCCTCTTACCGAGCCTCCCAACCCCTGGCTGGGGCAGCTCTTGCTGCTTTCCCTCCTTGGCACTTGCCCGTAGGCTAGTCCGGCTGCCACAGAAAAGACCCAGAAGCTCGCGAGGTTGTGGCTGGTCCCACTGCCCCTCCCCCGCCCCGCTAGGACAGCGAGCACCCGGCCGAGTCTTGAGTTTTCTGGCATTTTCCATAGCAAGCGGCACAGAGGCAGCAGCATACGTGGTTCCCGCCCCAGTGGGATCGGACGAGGAGCTGGGTTAGTGCTGCCTCCAGGCGCCTGTCCCGGCGTGGCAGCTGCTCACAGCGTGTGTCACTGGGCCTGAGAGGTGGCTGGTGCGGCGGGGACGGACCTTGTACTTCGCATCAGGGAAGTGTAAATTTGAACAGCTGCCTTGGGACAGCACAGGGAGAGCGGAGGCTCCAGGTGTCATCACCTGTTCAGAGGACGGAAGCCTCCCTGTGCTGCCCTCTAGCCACAGCCACCCGCCTCCCGCTCCCACACATGCCACCCTCCTCGAGGGGCTTTGTTCTCAAGGGCAGACAGGCCCAGCCAGCCCTGGGGCCACAGGCGTGGTGGCTGTAGTGAGGGGTTTGTGGGGGGCCTGGGCAAGCTGCAGGGGCAGCAGAGTGTAGGCTGTGCAGTGGGGGCCTTTGTGCCACAGAGGTAAGCGGGCGGGGTGGAGGGCTGCCCCAGAGAGGCGGGGCAGCGCTGGGAGGGAGGGAGGTGACACCGATGGCACTTGTCCGGTCACACAGGAGTGTGGGCCGTCCTGGGTGCAGGGCTAGGACACAGGTTCTCGGATAGCAGAGTGACTGGGGGACATTGAGTGGGGGTGGGGGGTGTTGAGAGCTGATGGAGGCTGAGTGAGGTGGGCCCTGGGGAGCAGGCTAAGCCAGCAGAGGCCTGAAGGCCCAGGTGGCCATGGGGCTGGGAGCGCTGTGGGAGCAGGTATTGGGCTTCCACTTATAGTTTGGGAGGAGGGCCAGGATTCAGGGATGGGTGGATGAGGTGTGGGCCGTGCGTCCAGCTGGGCTGACGCGGGCCAGGATGGGTGGAGAGTTTGGCTTTATAAACCTCTAGTCTGAAATGTGTTTTCGTGAAATGCACTGATGGGGTGTGATATTGGGCTGGGTGACTTGCTGGTTGTGTGCACTGTAACCTAGTCACTGCCACCCTAGGACGTGCCGGCTGTGTGGCCTGGCCTGTCCTGGAGCAGCGTGTGATGTGGGGAGCCCTCAGCGCCGTCACTCTGGGGTCTGTGGGTGCTGCTGGCACACACGGAGCCCATTCCTGTACCCCGTCGTATGGGCTTTGTTTTGTCGGTGGACGTTTGGATTGTTGCCAGTGTCTGGCCGCTGAGCATAGCGCTGCGATGCCCACATGGTTCTCTGTGCCCACTCTCTCGAGCAGAATGGCTGCTGCAGGTGCCCCCTTGCCTGCCTGTGGCTGCTCCCTGGCCACTCAGTCCGGTGTGCAGATGTCTCCCAGGCTCTGTCCTCACAGCACAGGGGTCTCGCCCTGTTTCCAGGGGCTCGTCCGGTGTCCAGTCAGACAGTAACGGCCATGCAGCCCCAGCAGGACACACGCCCCCTGTGTGCGGCCCCTGGGTTGTGGTGGGGGCTCCAGGACCCCAGGGCACTGTGCCCCGAGCCCGGGCTGAGAGGATGCGAAAGCAGTCAGACAGGCACAAGACCGTCTGTGGACTGCGGCTCGCCAGGCAGGCCTCAGACTTCAAAGGCAGACCATGGCCGAGAGAAAGTTCTGTGGGCTCAAGCCGAGGCGTGCGCCTTCGCAGGCCCTGATCCGTGGGTGTGCCCACAGCTGCCCATGCGCCCCGCACCTCCAGACCAAGGCCGCCTGGGGGAGCCTGGCTTGGGGGCTGGGCCCAGTGGAGGCTGTTGTGCATGGGAGGGAAGAGGCGAGCTGAAGAGCGGCTGAGCAGCGAGGTTTGCGAGGACGCTTGTAGCTCAACGGGAGAAGTGGGCGGGCTCGTGGCTTGTCGTTGCCTTCACTCAGCTGAGTGTTAGGCTTTTGAGAATCTTGATTAAGGAAAACATGTATTCCACGGGTCAGTGTTGGGAAAACGAGAATTTACTGCAGCGATAAGCACATATGACTTTAGTGCTGTTTCTGAAGTCTCATGTGAAACTTCTCTTATCACTTTCAGTATTCTGCGGAGAAACTGAGCAAAGGTGGCCATTTGTTCCCTTTTGAGACCAATGGTAAGTATGGAAAAGCCCTGGTCTTCCTGGGCTGCTGGGCCCGCAGACGGTGAGCAGGGCGGGGCCATGCGCCTGGTGGGAAGCCGATTGAACTTGACACAGATGTTTGGAGCCAAAGCCCAGGAACAGGGCGTCCTGCGCAGTGAGGTGGAAGGTCAGCGGGAGACAGCCTCTCCCTCTGCTGTGGGGCAGGACCCAGCGAGGCGCCCCCTCCTGGCAGTTATGTGGGTGGGGCCAGGGTCTCTGTGCCCTTTCTGGAAGAGTCCCCTCCCCCCCGGGATGCTGTGGCCACTTAGTGGTGCATGCTGGCCCTGCAGCCCTGCCCAGTGGTGTGTGTGGGACGCTCATGCCTGCAGTGCACGGGTGTGCACTCACCCCTCCAGTGCGTGGCCCACACGTGTGCCCTGTGGTCTGAATGAGGGCAGATGGCACAGCCGCCCCGAGAGGGAGTGTTAGAATGTGGGAGTGAGTGTGAGTGTGAGAAGCTTGCTGGCACGTAGCCTCCTGATAAGCCTTGGTTCAGTGCCAGTGGTCACAGTGAAGTGTGCTAGGTGTGTGATTTTTAGGTGGGACACACCTGAGTTGAGTCCTGTCCTCCCTTTGGCCACAGCGGCCATGTGGGTGCCCAGTGGCTGCTGGTGGTAATCGGGGGTTAGGTGGCACCCCAGACCACTCACGTGCAGGTTTGTACCTGCTCTGAAGACTAGAGGAAGTAGGCAGTGTGGCCCAGCACCTGGCCCTGGTGCCGTGTCCTCACCTGGAGTCCGTCCTGCTGGTGGGACCCGTCCTCGCTCAGAGCTCCTGGGCTTTTGGCAGGGCCACAGGGTCCGGCCTGCTGCCCTTGGAGAAGTGAGGGTGACTCCAGGGCCGACCCACCCGGAGAAGGCAGGTAGGGCTGGCACGTCCCATGTCTGTGGCTCATGTTGCTGTAGGGGTGCCACCTTCCAGTGTGCCCAGCCCCTCAGCACCCTTGAGGTCCACGGCTTTGTGTCGAGTGGCAGCACGGCCCCACCCTGTGGCTGGCTGTGCATCTTGCTCACCTGTCTCTCCTCCTTCCTGTTTCCTCAGAAGCCAGGTGCCCTTGGAAGGTCGTAAGTGGAGGACGGCCCATCAGAAGCCAGGCGGCCGCGGGCCCCGCTCTCCCCTTCCTGTCAAGCCCCTGCGGGCCTAGCACGGGCCTGGGTGCGGTCAGTGCCGTGGACCTCAGGGAGAGCTCGGGGCCACCCTTGGCACCGCCCACCAAGCGACACTGCCGGTCTCTGTCGGAGCCGGATGAGCTGGCCCGCTGCCGGTCCCCGTGGCGCCCTGGCGGCTCCAAGGTCTGGACTCTAGTCTCCAAGAGGCGGTGCCACAGCGGCGGGAGCACCAGCCTGCCAGGGACCACTGAGTCACCCGGCAGAACCTTCCCCGTGGCTGGCCCCACTTCACCCCCAGCGCCCCGGCCAGCCTCAGCCAGTAGTGGCTTTGTGGACAGCAGGGGGTGCTGCTCAGGCCCTCCCTGGTGTCCTGTGGGTCCCTGTGCGCTGTCCTCGCGGCGCCGCCTGTCCCTGTCACAGGAGCGCCTCGCAGATGTGGGCACCGCGCCGTGCACACCTGAGCCCGGCCGGCGGCTGCGCCTGCCCCGGAGCCGATCACAGCCCTGTGTGCTCCTCGGGAGGAAGAGTCGGCTGAAGCGCCGGCGAGAGGAGGATGCCCAGTGGCCGCGCCCGTCCTTGGACTTCCTGAAGATGACACGGGTGAGGCTTTTTCGCTGACGCCACTCCTCTGCATGGCGGTTCTGGGGAGAGGTTGGCCACTCCAGCCTTGGCGGAGTACAGCATGTCCTATCCTTTTGCGGGAGGTGACAGCCGTAGGGACGCGCTATCTCCTCGGCTCTGAGGCCAGAGCGTCCCCAGCAGCAGCGCCAGCTGCCCAGCCTTCCCGTCAACACGGCCGGCCTGGGTTTCCAGGCCTGAGGGGCTCAGGGCAAGGTGGGAGCCTGAGCTGCTGTTTGGGGCGAGAGAGTTTGGGAAGTGAGGAGGCGTCCCGGGCTGTCCCAGGCCCAGCTGGCTCCACGCTGACCCCTGACCTCTTCTCATGGTCCTCACCGTGCCCTCTGCCAACACCTCTCTGGGGAAAGTGTATGTGGACCAGCTTGAAGACTGGGTTCTGGGGCCGGCACCACCTGCCCCTCCCACCTGTCTTCTGCTCAAAGGCCCTTGTTCAAAGCCGAGTTAGAGCAAAGAAACAGACCGGAGGTGTTTCTGGAGGGTGGCGTCACTGCAGGGCCATCGGGGAGCTGGCACGGAGCCCAGTCATGTGGAACGGTCCCATTCCCTTGGGACCCTCTGGGTAGGGGCTGAGGAATCAAGAATGGGACCTGCTGCTGTGAGAAGGGAGACATGGTGGGGGTGCCTGGGCGTCCTCACTGGAGAGCCGCAACTCCAGACCATGGGCCTGGGTCTCCCCCGGGCAGAACACAGACGGGACCAGGTCCTCCACAGAGTGGGGTGGCCACTCTTGACGTCACTGTCATCTTGTCTTTCCTGAATGCTGGGTTTCCTGAAGTCTTCCCAGTGGGTGGGAGGGGCTCCCAAACCCAGACGTCCTGGTTGTAGAGCCTGTGTGGAGAAGAGGGATGCCCTGATCTTTTCTGGTGGTCATGGGAACCACCTGCAGCGTGGGAACGCTGGTAGCGAGCTCCCAACACGCACCCCCGCCTCCGGACTGCGGCATCCGCAGGCCTGCGGGGTCAGGCACTACTGGGACAAGACAGAGCATCCCCCCAGGACTGTAGCACCAGGCATTGCTGGGGGGACGTGTGACCCGACCCCTTGCAGAAAGGCGTGACAAGGCGCAGCAGTGTTGGGGCCAATGTCAGGGCTCAGCCTGGAGGCAGGGGTGCACCTGGCAGCGTGTGAGGCATGAATCAGCAGAGGCAGCACTGGCATGGGGGAGGGGCCTGAGGGGCAGCCTGCTGCGGGGGAGAGGTGTGTGTGTGTGTGATCTCTCTCCACGGCGT